TTAAGTTAATATAGGTAGTTTAGTTATTATTAAGGTAGTCTTTAAGTATTTATAACTTTATTAGAGTAAAAATAAGGTTAAAAAAGTAAAAATACTTTATATTACTTAAAAATATTATATTTTTATTAAATATATACTTAGAGCTATTTTATATATTCCTAATCTTAAGTTAAAAAGTTATAAAGGACCTTTATATAAACCTTTTATTAAAATCTATTAATCTTTTTTAACCCTTAATATATATATTTAATTATATAATATAATAGAATACTTAATATTATTATTATAATTTAATAATTACTTATATACTTTATTATTATAAAAGGAGAATATTATAATTTAATATATCTAGTTTTTTATAATAATAGTTTTAACCTAATAGTATTTATAGTTATTAAGTAAGTTAACTTTTTTATAATTTAAAAGTAATTATTTATTAAAAATATTTATTTCTTTTTTACTTTTTTAATATTTAAAATTATAAAAGTTTATATTAAGTTTATTAAGTTAACTTATAAAAGCTATAAAATCTTACTTAATAATATAAACTTTTTTTAATTATATTAAATAGGCTAAATTTATATATTAATTTATTTCTTAAATATTTAAAATAATAATAAATATAATAATATAATAAAAGTTTTAAAAATATTTAATTATTATTATTATTTATATTTAATTAACTATAAGTTTTAAAATTAATAATCTAAATAATTATAAATTAATAACCTTAATAAACTATAATAATACTATTAGTAAAACTATATTTATATATTATATATTTAAAGTTTAACTTAATTATAACTTTATTAAAATATAAGATTTATATAAGAATATTATATTTAATTAATTAAAAATAAAGTTTTTAAATAATAATATTATATTTAATTAACTTTACTATTTTAACTATTATTTCTTTAAATATTATATATACTTTAAATAATATAAAATTATTTTTAAAAATAATTTAAAGTTAACTACTTTATTTATTTTAATTAAAAGAATAATAAAACCTATTAAAAATAGTTAATAAAAGTAAACTTTTAATAACTTTATTTAATAAATACTCTTTTAATAGTTTTATTATTTATTATAATATAAATATAGTTATATATACTTATAGGTTTAATATCCTTTTATTTTCTTATTATTATATTTAATATATAAATTATAATCTATAAATATAAGTATTTTTAATATTTAAAAGGAAGTATTAAAATATACTATAAAATATAATATATAAAAATTAATATATAATATTATAAAAAACTTTATTTATAAAGTACTTAATCTAATAGTTAAGTTAATTTTAAATTTAACTATATAATATATAGCTTTAAAAGGATTAATTTCTAGTTATTTTAATAAAAGGTTATAATTAAAAGTTATTAATTAATAATAAAAGTTCTTTATATTAAAATACTTAAACTTATTATTTAATTAATTAAAAGTATATAAAAGATAAAAGTTTATATATTATAATATATAATTATATATTATAACTATTCTTTTAATAATAATACTTAAAAGAAACTATTAGTTACCTTATTAATAATATTAAAATTTATTATTTGTAAAATTAACTTATATAGTTTAATATTAGTTAAATAACTACCTTTAAATATTATTATAATAAATAAAAATTTATTTAAAAGAAATATAAATTAAAAGGAAATATTATTATATTAATTTAATATAATAAACTTATTATTAAAATAGTATTAACTAAATAAGAGAAGAATATTTAATAAATTAAATATTAATTAAAAATTATTAATTAAATATATATTTAAAAATAAAGCTAAATTAATATATATTTAAATTATATTTAAAATTTATATAAATTAATAAAAGTAGTTAAATATAAATATAATAGAAAGTTAATTATAAGAAAAAATAGCTTAAAATTAATTACTTTATAAAATAATAAAATAATTAAGATTAATTAATTTAATAAAAACTTTATAAAACTATTTTTAATAATTAAAAGTAATTTTAATTATAAATATTTATTTAACTTAAAGATATACCTTTATATTTAAATAGTATAAATAAATTAAAGCTTTTAAGTAATAATTATATTTTATTAGACTATAATAAAGAAATTAAATTACCTTATTTTATTATTAATTTAAATTAACTATTAATTTAATAAAATTTAAAGTTAATAAATAGTTTTTATATTAAGTAAGAGGAAATATTTTAAATATTTTATTTATAAAATAATTTAGTTAAATTTAATTATAATAATAACTTTAATAATAATATATTTAATCTAATAGAAAAAGTAAGGTTATTAAAAGTATAAACTATTATTTAGATATACTAATAGATTAATCTAATATACCTTTATTATTATTACTTATATAGGTTTATTAAAGTTTTTAAAGTATATAAATAAAATAATAATTAATAATCCTTTAATTTAATTAGTAAAATACTTATACTTAGTTTAATTATTATTTTATAATTTATATACTTTACAAAAAGTTATTAATTTAATCTTAATAGGAATTATATATTTTTTTATTTAATTTTAAATTAAAATAATTAATATAGTCTTTTTTTTACTAAATTAGGTATATATAATTTTATTATAGTATAGGTAGTAAATTATTATTAAAAAAGTCTAGCTTTTAGTATATTTTTATATTAAAAGTTAGATTTTTTAAATATATAGGGGTTTTGGTTGTGTGGGGGTTTTGGCACCCCCTACGCCGGTAGGCGTAGGGGGCAACCGAAGGTCTGACCCCCGGGTACCTTGGATGTGCCTGCTTCTCAATCTCCTCTTCTATGGCGCTGCTGGGAGGATATGGTCTCGGCTGGCCTTGTCTGTGGCTGCCCAGGTGGTCTTTCACGTAGCTTCTCACCGTCTATTTATGCGCTGTTTAGCGCAGGTACCTCTTCTTTTCCACTGCTCAAGTGGGAGCCTCCTAGTTCTCGAGACTGAACGGCGAAAGAAATCCACCCAGGAACCTGACGATTCCTGCCGGCAAATCCTAGGCGTTCTCTGCCCAGACGACCACAAGCCGCGGCGAGGAGGGCAATTGTGACGGTACGGGCTTATATACTACTAGGTAACTAATTGGTCGAATTGTATACTATGGTATTTCGGCCGGGACGTGGCCGGGACGTCTGTTACGTAGCAGTTGACAGGTGCGTCTCAGCAGGCAAACTTGCACAAATACAGAAAGAACAGCGGCAGCCATTAGACGGGTCGCTGGAATCTATCATGATTTATGAATCAATCTACATTAGTATTTTATATTAAGTAATGCTTTTTAAGGCTGTTATTTATTTATTATTCTTTAAAAAGAAGATAATAATTATAAAAGTTTATATATATATTCTTAATTTAAGAATAAAATAAAATTAAAGATATTATTAACTATATATATAGTATTATATAAAATAATAAAAGTTAATATATTAATATTTAAAACTTATATATTATTTTAATTATTTAAATAATTAAAGTATAAAATTAAAATATTTATTATTTTAATAAATATTTTTTTTTATAATCTTAAAAAGTATAAAAAAGTAAATTAAATTTTTAAGAATTTAAATTAAATTTATTAACCTTACTTATAATTTTTTATTATACTTTATATTATAAAACTTAACTTTTTTACTTTAATTAACTTTATTTTAAAAGAAGTCTTATATAAGATACTTTATATTATAAGAGGGGAAATAGAGATAATATAACTATCCTTAATATATTAATTTAGATTAAGATGGCGCTACCTTTTATATAAGGGGAAAGGTTTGAAGGGATTGTAGGGGGAAGGTTTAGGTCTTAGAGGGTGTGGGTAAATGGGCCACACTAGATGACGAAGCAGGCAGGCAGCTAGTGGGGCCCCCAGTCACCCACGCACACACACTCACACTTCTTAGTTACTAGAGGGTTTTTAACTTCTAAATGGGTGCGCGAATCTCCTCTCTCTTATTTAGTTATCTTATCTAGTTATAAGCAAACCATTGTTTATAACATGATTAATTGAACCGCAATGTATCTAGATAGTATAATTAGAAAAGACAGACTTATCTCGGCGGTTCGCCTTGAAGCCGAGAGAGCCCTCACATTAGCCGCGTTGGCAGTGCAAAATTCGATGCCAAGACGGTCGCGAGGGAACTTTTGCCACTCATCGCCACCTTCTCTTAGAATTTAAGCAGCAGCTAAATAACATCAGTATTTTAGGACAGAAGCGAGGTGTTTAGATACTATGAATACTTCCGCGGTGTTATCCTTGGAAATAAGCCACTCATCGAAACCAGTCAAGTTGGCTTGGAGATGTGGAGATGTGCATAGTTTGCGTCATAAAACGTAGTTTGAAAAAGAATGGAGAATGGAATGGACTGAAGGAACAGGGTTGCCATACCCAAGAAGCTGTGGCTGAGTCACAGACTCGTCTGATGCCTTCCAGCGGTCTAAGTCCATCCATCAGAGTGGCTCTCGGATCTTGCTCCCAACAGGAAGGATAACATCCTTGGGGTTAAACTAGGTAGATAAGTTATTTTTTTTAAGAAAAAAGTCTCGCATTAGTTTATATTTAATTCAACTTAAGTAGTAGGTATTAAGGTGCGGTCCAGACATTCGAGTTCTGCAACACCTTTTGAGGCTCAGTCTGGCCATTTGCACCACACGAAATCCACATGCTTACCTAGATATGGAGTTGAGATGGTCTTATGTAATATGAGGTACGCGAATAGCCGATGTTGGCGACGGCGAATCATTCTGGAGCGCAATGGTTCGGCAAAATCATCGATCAAATCTGAAACTATTCCAGAGGACGGGTTCCTAACCATATAATATGGCGAAGAGCTTGGGATGAGCGGTATGACTTGGTCACCACTCGCATCACGCTCCTTTCAGTCGTCGCTGGTCAGTTTCAACACCAGGAATTCCTGGCAAATTCTTTCATAAATCGCTGCCCTGCTATTTATCCTCCGATATTAACAGGTCATGGGCTAGCTATTTGGGCATATTGGACTGGCTAGTATTCAGCCTCAACGACATCGCCCTTCTCCCTCCTCACTTCACTGACCCGGGCGTCCAGCTCGCTCTGGATCCGTTTCCTCGACTGCCCAGCCACGAACCACGAGCTCGATGAGAACAAGGCGTTCATCTCCTCCAGGGGCAGCTTCTTGGTCTCAGGCATGAAAGCCCAGAAGAAGATGGCGTTTGTGAAGTTGCACACCACAAAGATGAGGAAGTACCTCCAGCCGATGTTAGCAATAGCGGGAGCGGTGATCTGCCCGATCATGGTGTTGAAGGCGAACGAGGTCATGACGCCGATGGAGATGCCCTTGGACCGCGTCTTGGTGTCGAAGACCTCGGCGGGGATGATCCACGACAGCGAGCCGCAGGTGAAGGAGAAGCTGACCTGGTAGAACCAGTTGGTGACGATGAAGACCCAGGCGAGCGCGCTCTGGCCCGAGGGCGAGGCGCCGGGGAAGCTCGCGATGGCGGCGGTGACGATGACGAAGCAGACGCAGTTGACCCCGTTGCCGATGATCAGGGGCCAGCGGCGGCCGAGCCTGTCGATGAAGAGGATCGTGCAGAGCTGCGCGATGACGGAGAGCACGTTGCTGATGGCCTGGTACTTGAGCGAGTCTGTCGTCCCGATGTTGACCTGCTTGTAGATGTCGGGCGTGAAGTACTGGATCGCAGAGACGCCCGTCATCTGCACCGATGCCTGCAGGGCGACCATGAGTAGGAGCCGGCGGAAGCTCGACCGGTCGGTAAAGAGGTCGCGGTAGCCCTTGGCCTCGTTCTCGTGCTCGTGCGTGATGGCGGCTTGGATCTGGGCGAACTCGGCCTGCACCCATACGTCGTTCTCATCGCCGTTGGCGTGGAGCCTCGCCAGAGTCTTCAGCCCTTCCTGTTCCTTGCCGTGGTCGATCAACCAACGAGGTGACTCCGGGAAGAGGAGAATCATGAGCGCAAGGATGCCCGCCGGGATGATCTGAAGACCAAGGGGGATGCGCCACTGTTGGTTCGTTTTGTAGTGCAGGTTGGTGCCGTATACCGTCCATGCTTCGCGATGTCAGTCGTGAACCCCTTTCAAGCGTCTCAATAGGTGTACTTACTCGCAACCACAGCCCCTATTCCCAGCATAAATTGCTGCAGACCGGTGACCCGGCCTCGAATGGAAGGGTGAGAAATTTCGGCCTGGTACATTGGCACGATCATGACCAAGAAACCAACGCCAAGACCTCCGACAGCGCGACCCGCGTAGAAGAAGTTCAAGTGCTGGCCCGCGGCTTGCAGGGCACCTCCGAGGCAGAAAATGAGGGCACCGATCATGATAGTCAGCCTCCGGCCGAGCAAGTCACCGCAAGGCCCTGCAAGAGCGGCCCCGAAGAAACCGCCACCGGTGAACAGAGACACCACAGCACCACTGCGTATTTCCTCGTCAGCTTGGCCGGCATGCGTGCAGGGGCGTTTCACCTACACTTGGTCCTTGTTGGGGTTGAACGATGCGACGAAAGAGTCCGAGGCAACACTGCCTCCGATAACACCGAGATCATATCTGGTTCGGTTTTAGCTGTGCTCTGGCGGGGTCTCGATGATGTTCGTAGAGAATCGCATACCCATAGTTGAACGACCCCAACGAGGCGAACACGCCCACCAAGAACTGTTTCGGCTGTTAGCTTTGCGGCACAGCAGACCCATGCAGCACCTGGCGCGAACATACCTGGTACACCCTCGGGGAAATCATGGTCGCGGGATATCAGCGCGTCTCACAGGGAAGAGACTTTGTCTGTCGAAGCCAGGAGCAAGCAAGCAGTGACAATGCAGAGACCTGTTCAAGGGGAAAACATAAAGTCTTATACATCTGCACGACAAGGGGATCGCGTCGCCAGACAACCCTGCCAAGCACGTGGCAGAGTTCTATGCGCAGCCCGAGGTTAAGGCGTAAGATGAGTTCTCGCTCGGTGTTAGCCCGAGCGCGGAATCCCACCACGCGCTTGACTCATTAAGGTAAAAGGCGACACTGGGGTAGCTGGGGATGGTTCTGGGCCCGCCCGGGGAAGTCTGGGGAAGGGCCACTAGAGAGAGAGCGCTCACGTTGGTCACATCGCGTACTCCGTACCCGACAGCCTGGTCAAGTCTCGCTAGGCCGTTGCCACATAGCCGATCCAATCACCACTCACGACCCCACGCCCCGCGGCTCGCTTGTTCCTTCTCGCAGGGGCACAGACGGTGAGATAACCCCGGCATTAGAGTTATTAGCGGATAATATGCATGAAGGATCGAACGCGTTGTCACTCTACAATGCGATATCCGGAACAATGGAGAATCAGGCACCGGATGCATGAAAAATGATGTTAGCAGCGTCAGTGTACACGGGAAAAAAGGTTTCGGAGTGAGAAACACTCGATGACGCTCGACCTGCCCCGCCAACAGAGGACTGATAGCTACGTCTTGAGTTAAAATCCGCGTGCTGGCGGTGTTGGTCAGACATTGAAGAGACAACAAGGCTACCTAGGTAGTTCTGTGCATGGACTCCGTAGAAAGGGCCCGCCATGACCCACTTGAGCACCAAATCATCATGTGGTCTGTCCGTGCGGATGAGAGTTAGCCTGGTTCTAATAATCGCTAGTTCCAGAGCAACAGATTCCAAGGACCGGCTTGACGTAAATAAGATAGATCGTGAGCTATTTGAACTGTGCAATAAGCGCTCGAGTGGGTGGGCGAATGAGATGAGGCATAGCAAAGTCGTTGAGAGCAAGTTAGAGTCCAGGGGGCCAAGTTGGATCTTGGTTACCTGTTTGCATCGGTTTTGTCCTTTATGATAGGGTCGGATGTCCGCTGCAGCTCCCTATCAGGTGACATGAATAGTGCCCCTTCCTAACATCGCAGCCTTGTCACTCAAGCCCGTGCATACTTGGGACGGATTGCTTTGATAGGTGTAAGCGGATTTAAGGAAGCCATGCTGCAGGTGGGCGTGGTAGCACTCGTCGATGGAGGGAAGTCCACTAAATGAATGCACCTCGATATTTACAACGATCGATTGGGATGGCTAATAAGAATAGTGTACTTGGTGTTTGAAAGTGTTCATAATACCTGTCGAAACTCTACCGATCGATAGCCCTAATTTTTCTCGTTCGAATGATATTGCATGTATCCTCAGGTAAGAGGCACTTTTGTTTCTAATCCCCATACATATGCAATGTACCTAGGTATGTGGTGCCTTCACACAGTGGTAAACGCTCGGCCCAGCGTTGGTTTCTAAAAAATAAAAAAAGAAACGACAGCGTCAATAACAGTGTAGAATACAATATAGACTACATGGGCACGGGGACTCAGCCTTATCATGCCGCACAGACAAGGCTAGGAGGCACTGGTCCTGACGGCGCCGCTGACTACTCAAGTACCCTAGAAAGCCGGGAGAACCGTAGGTCAGTCCGAGCCTTGCGTACCCGGGCGTGCCGAGTATCTAGTGGTAGAGTGGTATAGACGGCCTTCAGAGCGATACGCACTGTTGTTGCGGTCTCGACTCCGAAAGTACTTGACTAGTGTGGCCCACGGGCCGTCCTTGGACATGCCCTTGGGTATGACAAAATCAACTATGTGATACCTATGTACAAATCAACTTGGCAAACTGCCTGGTCTCGCTTCTATCCCGTAACTGAACGTCCGAACACATACATGGCGCTTTCATACAACCAGTAGTAAATGCCCAGGGTTTAAGGGAAAACCAATGCCAAACCTTATCAAATCGAAAGGCAGACAGACACCCACCCCACCAGGGCTCATCAACACTTACGTCAGCGCCACAGACCGCACCGCACCGCAGCGCGACCACGGAAGACCAAGCAAGAGGGATCGACCCAGTGAGCAAAAGACTACTAGATGCATCGTCTGTTGTTTAGTTATAGCTACCTGATAACAATGCCGCCAAGCCAGCCAGCCCGACGATCCAAGGATCCCATCCCACAACAACAAGGGCCGGAGAGAAGAGGGGACGGGACGCAAACACCTGTGCACCGTTGCTATGAGTATCCACCCCACCCCACCCCTTCATCATGTACGCCGCGATCTGATCACCACCGCATCTCATCTCTCCGGTCGGTCCATCATGTATATCTCCCCCCCACCGTTCTTATCTTTATCCTCGTTCTGTTCCGCTCTTCTCATCTCGTCCGCCCTGCTCTGTCCTTTCGTCCATACAATTCACCAACACCCGCCCACCAACGCAACCCCCCCACGGCAGCAAGGGCAAAAAAAGAGGAAATCAAATCACTCCATCCCCCTAAAACGGCGATTAAACTCCTCCACCGCCACCCCGACCATGCGGTACACAAACGTCCGCCCGCTCTCCTCCCCGATCGGGATGAACGGCCCGTTCGTGCCCCCCCGGAGCGTGAGGCTGAGCCCCGTGCGCTCCTTGGCGATGGTCTGCACGTCCTTGAGCGGGACGTCCCACTCCGTCGCCAGCCGCCGGCTCCTGATCAGCAGGATCCGCGCGTACGTGATCATGACCACCATGTCCTCGCGGGGGAGCTCCAGGTGCGCGATGTAGTTCTCGTCAAAGTACTTGCCGTTGTCCACCTGCTTCAGCCAGAACTGGCCCAGCGCCTCGCGCTGGTTGAAGGGCCGCACGATCCCGTCCGTCGGGATGAAGCGCGTCAGGCGCACGCGGTCCAGCTCCGAGCCGTCAAACACCGTCGTCGTGTTGCGGATGCCCTCGGCCGCGTTGGACGCCGCGTCCAGCACGCCGATGAGCGGCTTCGTCCCCAGGCCGAGCACGCCCTTGCCCACGCCCTTGAAGAAGCCGACCGCGCCTTCTGACTCGGCGCCCTCGAGGGGCTTGCGGACGACACCGCCCACGCCTGATGCCACCGACGTGATGAAGCTGTTAGCACCAGTCGTGAAGCCGTACAGGGCGTGCTTGGGCTTGTTCCTCGAACGCGTGATCCGCCGCCGGTCCTGGAACTGCTTGTCCAGTGTGGCTGCGGCAAGGCCCTTGCTCATAGCACCGGTGAACTTGGAGAACGAATCTGTCACACCGAAGACGGACTTCTTTAGGAACGAGGCTGCACCGCGGGCAACGCCCAAGCCGAGGTCTTCAGGCCTATCGGACATGATAAGTCCTTGGTAGGGCTCGTAGAAGACGTCTGCAATACCGGAGCTGATGTTGTTGAACAGACCGACGGGGTTGCCGAGGAAGTCTGCTGAACCGAGGACTTTGTGTACCTGGTAGATGGCTTCTTGAGCGTAGTGGTTGGATATGTTCTGAATCAAGATCGGAGTGGATACGCGCACATTGTCCAACATCAGCGCGTTCATACGAAGTGGAGCATCGTTGACATTGCCCATTGCCATCGTCATGATGTTGAAGAAGAACATGAGCGGGTTGCGGGACGAGGTTTTGTCTTCTGCGTTGATACGCTCAGTCCGCACAAAGGACAGGTCGATTTGCATGGGCTGGATGTTGAGCAGCTCGAAGTAGATGTCTTGGCCTGTCTGCTGTTGACTAGGCTCTGGGATGTCAAGGTTGTCGTCGCAGAGCTTGCCGCCCTCCTCGGCTTCGGTCCAGGTAGCACCGGGCACCTTGGAGAAGTCCAGCATGGCGAATATGAAGTCCTCGTCCAGATCAACAGTCATCTGCTGAAGAAGTATTGTCGCGTACTTGATGTACAGAACTCCGTACGAGTCATCCTTGACCCTGGTCACCATGGCATGCAGGGACGGGTGAGCATCAGTCTCCTGTGCCCGCTTGGGCACCACACTGGGGTACAGAATCATCGGGAAGATACCACCGTAAAGTTGGTTGTCAATCTGGATCCACTTGATTGCTAGACTGACAGTCTGCAAGAGCGGCGATTCACTGTACCGAAGCGTTAGGTCTCGGAACGTGACGTAAGCAAGTTCCCTCAGCTGAGAGTTGATCAGCGAAACGCCAATGCCAGCGAGCTTGAGCTGGGCCCGGAACTTGGTGCCGGTGTCCTGATCCTTGGCCTCGAAGCCCGCCGTGCTAAGGTTTCCAGTGGAGCCGGACATAGACTTCTGGCGGTAGAGACTCTTGGATTGCTTGAAGTTTGACAGGATCAGCGTCTGGGTCGGTCCGTCGGCAGCCACATTGATATCAATAATCTTCTGACCGCCGGCGCTCGTGTTGAACCTCATTGGGACGAGATTACCAATCTCCGCCAGTTTGACATGCCTCTCTTTATTGAAGGCGGAGATGACGACCTCCCGGTGCTTCGCTGCTGGGAAGTCCCAAGCATAAGGCATGATGCTTCGAGGTGGTAGTCGGTAACGGATAGGTCGCCAACCCGAGCGGTCCTCGACTCCATCTTCGTCAATGTTGGGGTTGGCTTGGTAGAACGTGAACTCGGTATCACTCTCGTTGCGCATCGAAAACGGCCACTGCTTAGTCTCCAAGCTCATTTTGAGGAAGATGGTGGCGTCCTCCATCAGGATCTCCACGCGGATCAGTCGTTGGCGTTGACCCGCTTTGGCGATCTTGATGTGGGCGGTGCCGAGGTCCGAGATATTGAAGGGCGACGTCCACTGATTGTCAACGCCAGGATGGCAGAGGCATAACTGCTTGACGGAGCCCTTCTTGAGGAAATGTAGGGGTCTCAGCTGACCAGCCTTAATGGTCATGAGATCGGATGAACTTGGCTCCCTGATGTTGATCTCTTCTCCGATCTTATTCTGGACGATAAATCTCGGCGCCAGGGTGACAACCTTGGTCATCTTGTATTTGCCCTCGCCTGACTCCACAATGATGCCGACATGGATTTCGGAGCTGCGGTTCGAGGACGGCAGCACGACGTCCGCGGCACTTCCGATGGCGTCGAAACTCTGAGGCTTGCTCCATTCCGAGTTGCCGACCTTGAGCATGGCTCGGTTGCGATGGTCGTCACTACCATACGAGAACATAAGTGGGGAAACCTTGCGCTCGCCTTCAGTAACATCAACGAGTAGTCCGGGTTGGCCGGCCGCCGCTTTCGCTTGTTGCAAGAAGCCCTTGTGGCGAATTTGGATGTCCAGGCCTGTCTTGTTCAGGATGACATATGGGCAGTAGACCGTCACCTTGAACGCACCGCCGCTGTCTGGGATGCGGTGATAATGCAACTTCAGGTTGAGCTGGAGGCCCTGGTCGTCCTGACACTTGAGCGTGTGCTCTTTCTTGAAATCCTCAGAGCTGCCGGAGTTGATGATGGCGAATTCGCTTGGCTTGAACACCGTGTCCTGCATATCTACACTGAGCAACAGGAGGCGTGAGAGCTCCGTCACATGAACCGGGCTGACTCCTCCCTTTCGCAGGAAGTTCGACCAGTCCTTCTTGGTGTTCTTATCGTAGATTCGGTACTTGAAGTCGTACGGCAGAAGGTTCTCAAGCGTCACCGGGGCGGAAAGCTTGAGCTTCATGTTGGGGTAGTTCCTGCGCAGAATGTTAGTCCTCGTTGACCGAATTTGTTCAGTGGCTGGCTGCACTTACTTGGTAGTGGGATTAGAGCGGTCAAATGTCGCGTTCATCTGGAAGTAGAACGGCTCGCCATGTTCGCCCTTGCAGACCATGGTTCGGGTCGGCCTCTTCAAGAGATCCCTCCACCACAAGGACTCACTGGACCAGGCATATCCGAAGCCGCTATCAGGTCGGACAAGCAAGCTCTTCATGTACACGGCGCCGACTGGAGCTGGACGTGCCTCGCCAGGTGCGATTTTCTCGATCTTGAGCAGGTCGCCTTCCTGAGCATCGAATACACCCAACTCGACCGGGATCTGAGTAGCATTCTCCACGATCAAGGGGCTGCGGAGCGTGACATATTTGACGTTGTCAGAGCCCAGCTTCACGTCAACCATGAGACGGTGTGAGACGTTGTCCCTCTTTGGCTTGAGCGAGTAGAGGAACTCGCCCTCGCGATTCAGGCGGATATTCTTGAGCACGTCAAAGCCACTGCCCTCGAGCTGGACCGCGACAGCCGTGCTCGCCATGCTGTCGGTCAGCATATTCTCACGCATCTTCTCCCAGTGTTCGAAGCTCCACGGGGCGTCTTTGCCATCCTCGAGGCGCACGCTGATGTCCTCTTCGCTCGTGGGGTTCTTGCTGCGGACAACGACCTCGAAGCCAGTGTAGTTCCGAATCCGGTATGGCGACTCCGTGCCCCTGGGTTTGCCGAGGACATCTTCGTCCTGAGTCAGGAAGGCAAACGATTTCGAGGCCAGGGCGATGGTATTGGTAGTGACCGTGATGTCAAACGTCTTCTTTGACGTCACATCAACAGAGAGCAGCCCTGTGTCTTGCTCTCTCGCAACACCGAGGCCGACTGACCATGGCTCAAGTAGTGGCTCCCAGGCAGACTTCGAGAAGTTGTACACATTAACGTACATCTCTATCGGCACTTCAGCCTTCAAACTAGACGACCAGTCCTCGGCCGTCGCAGTGAAGTTCTTGATGCTGAGATCCAAGATCGGAAGTTCATGTAAGTCCCCAATCAGCACCACACGAATGCCATCGATAGTAGCCGTGAGCTCCTCCCGTCTTCGTGGTTTCTTGACCACGTCGTGAGGCTGACCCTTGCCTTTGTTACTAGGAGCAGTCGAATGTCCGCTTACGGCTGTGGCGGGCTTGCCAGACTTCGACTTCTGGGCGGCAGTTGTGGCCCCCCTGCCACTGGCTGTTCGCTGTTTCATCCCTGCCTGGCGAAGCTCTTTTGCCTTTTTATCACCGGCGCTAGGTTTTTCCTGAGTCTTGTCGTCTCCCGAGAGTTCGGACGCCTTGCTAATAATCTGGAGGGCAATCAGAATGTCTCTGAGCGAGAGACGCAGAATCAGCGGCTCGATATCGATGTGGAGGTTCGTCAAGTCTGGTTTCGAACTATCCATGGACATTTGGATGGAGAAGTCGTCGAGAATCCTCAGTCTCGAGTCCTCAAACCGGTCCATGCGACACAAAAACATGCCCACTTCTGAGACCTGGAAGGTCAGCGCGTGCTGCTGCGACAGTAGCACCTGCTTAGTGCCCAAGACAATCGCCTCGCTACTTGCGCTGAGAGGGTTTGCGATAAGGATAACCTGCGCATCGACGATGTTAACGCGGAAGGCAATGCTCATCTTAGAATCCTCTTGGTCCTTCTGTTCCGTCTTGGACGGCGACCTCGTGCTGACCGAGGGTCTTGGCGACTGGATGCTGGACTCGCGACGAGCAATGCTAACTTGCATGCTATCCGCATCACTCTCGTCCGGTGTCTCCATCTCCACCTCGTCTATGGGGCTAGGCTCGTCGACCTGAAGACCGGTCATGATAAAGCTTTGGAGTGCGAAGAGATAGTCGAGGGCGAAAATGATTCTCGGTGAGTCTATCGCGGCCATGGCAATGAGATTGCGCTCCTTGCCGCCAGATATCGTCACGCTCGCCATAAACTGCTGCACACTCTTGTTCCCGCTCGTCATGATGCGACGGAACTTGTTGGTCTCCCTGGGACGAGAGTCGTGGATGGTGAAACTCTGGATGACGAACTCTGCCTCCAGGCTACCGTTGGCTTGCATCCGGGTTTTAAGCTTACTATCATCCAGACTGAACTTGCCCAAGCTGGCCGACTCCAGGTTGCCAACCGGTCGGCCCTCAGGGGCATTGATGAGCTCCAAACCGACAGTAGGCACCTTGAAGACAAGATCGAGCTTAGTCCACGTATCGCCGTGGGTCCCGAGCTCGGGCTTCATGTCAACAGTGTCATCTTGACTGTTGTCCTCTGACCTCGGCAGCGTCCGGGCTCGTTGCAAGGTGCCCGAGTCAACGTCTTGCTCGGCTTGCTCGGCTTGAACATCTGCGTCACCAGAAAATGCCGCAGGCACCGATTTCGAAATCGCAAGCAATGCCTTCATCTGATATTGAGTGATCTTAAGGTTGACTTGAGACAAACTACCATCAATCTCAAGCTCGGGACGCTTTTGACCGTTCTTGTGCTCAGCATAGATGATGCTGAAGCCCATGTCAACGTTGTCGATTAACTCCAGCTCCTCGGATTTGTCATCGTCGTAATGGAACAAGCTGGTGAGCCTAACGTTGCGGATGCCAGCTGACATCTTGTTTGCGATTTCAGAGTCTGCCGAGTCATCGAGCGGGGCGAACTGATTCTGTGCGTAAATCTCTCCCAGATATGCGGTGATGAGGTCTCGGTTGGCACGCCCAGGCGTCACGGCGGCGGGGAAGATTACAATGGGCGTCTTGATGATCACGTCAAGCTTGATGCGGCTGGTACTCTGCTGCAGCTGTTGTGCCTGGTTTGCAGCAGCCTGACGAGCAGCATTATATATGGCTTGCATCTTGCCGAATTTGACCATGAACTCCACAATCTTGCGGAAAGGCTCTTCGAGGAAATTGACCTTGACGGAGCCAGCACGCAGGTATATAGACGAGTCGTATCCGGGGTATGATTTCTCGTTCTTCGAATCGAAGGTCTCGTACCTAAAGTCGGCAAGGTCATCTCCCTGGATTGTGATGAGCTTTCGGATGGGTGAGTCTGCAGAAACGCCAAGGTTTACGTCGTCGACTAGACTGAGGTCGCCCAACTTGGTGTTAACCCGCATCGTAGTACCTAGAAGGAAGACGCCAACCTCAGCATGGTTGAAAGAAAGCGTGGCCAGCCGTATTCCATCGTTATTGAGAACGAGCTGAATCCTCTTCAGATCGACCCTTACTCGGATGGCGGCAGCAGCGGCTTGTTGGGCTGGTTCTGGCGGCTCGACGGCGATGTCCACTTCCGACCCGTCATCTGTGATGGCTTTCTGTTGCTGTTGATTGTTATTTCCAGGATTACTGAAAGTGACAAGGATGAAGTCGAGCAGGGTCAGTAGCGTCTTACGCGTCACGACGAGGTTGATGGTCGCGATCGCAACATTCACGTTCGTCTCCACCCCTTCGTAGACCGACATGAACTCTGGCGACTCCCGCTTCACTCGGACGACATTGACCTTAACCAACGCCCGGTGTTCCTTTTTGTCTTCGACATCACCCGACGAGACAATTGACTTGAACTCTGCTGGTGGCTGCTCCACAAAATCATCGACTGTGACTGAGCCCAAAGACACATCTGCAACCATGTCAAATGGCCTCATGTAGTAGTTGACCTCGAAATTCTGGGCCACAAGCTCAACGAGGAGGGCATCAGGATTCTTCCCGTCGGGGTCACTCTTGTACAGAGAGCCGCGCAATTCGTCCACAGTGAACTTGAGCTCGAAAGTCTTTTGTTTCAACTTTAGCTGCACGCTTGGTTGATCGTCCGTCGCATCTTCAAAGGTCTCTTCGTCTTCGTCAATGTCGTCGAGGACAATCGCCTGGTCCTTGGTCGCGGTGAAGGGGAGAAGTTGAGAAGACCGTCTCCGTGAAACTTTGGGACTGCGTGGTTGAGATCGACTCGAACGCCTCGAGACATTGCTCTGGAGACGTGGACGGTTAGGCTGCTGCGGCTCTGGCTCGGAATCATTGCCAAACTTGGGTAGCGCTACGTCGATCAACTTCATCAGACTCTTGTATTTGGTATCAGATGCTGTCACATGCAGAAGGGGGAGATGTCCGGAAACTCGAAGCTTGGCCAGGTTCGGAGCTTTGGGCAAGATGGACAGCTGAACAAGGAAGTCGATGTTGATCTGCTCGACAACATGCATTGTGGAGCTCTCTCCCTTAGTAGACAGCTGGGACTTGGCCTCTGCGATGGACGGGCCGATGAGCAATTGAGTGGACGTGAGCTTGACGATGAACTTGTCGTACATCAATGACTCGAGACGCTTGTGGTCCTCGTCGGTGTATGCCGAGTTGTGTTTGGATTGTACATCCTTCAACGTCTCTCTGTCAACCAGTTCGGAGTTGACACTGATATGACCGGCATCCAGAATCATGCACGTCGAGTTTTTTGTAGTGATGCTCTGCGGTACAATGATCAGAGGCGCTTGCAGGTCGAGCATAGCATTGATAGTCTTGTGCTCCTCCAAGGCAAACTCGAGACCTGCCCTCGTTTGCTGTCTCAGCTCTTCGACCGTTGCTCCTGCACTCTCCATGAGGGCGGTGATTGATTCCATGTGACGTTCTGGTGGACGGAAAAACCCAACAACACCAACAACGATATTTGGATTCCACACGACCTCGAGGGGCTTCAGTTTGGCCTTGACGGCGAAATCGCCCTGGCCGTCCAGGGGATTCTGCTCTAGCTCCAGATGGAAGAAGGCTTCCTCGCTCGACTTCTCCAGCTCGGCGATCGAGAGGCGCTTTTGCTTCTTGCGGTCCGGTGCATCTTTGACTCGCACAATCTCCGGGTACAGGCTGTCGGGTGTGGTGCCATCGTTGACCCGTAGACCGCCCAGGCTAACTTCAGTGAGGAAGGAATCCGGACGAGCGAGGGCCTTAGCCTTGAAGACATCGAAATGCAGGCTCAGGAGATCCTTGGGGTTCTTATGTGGGCTTTGGCGCAGCGTGAAACTTCCAGTGCTGAGCGAAGTCTCGACCTGGAACTTTACGCTGTCTCTTGGCGTGTCAACTGCATCGGCCAGCGCCGCTTTCTCGTCCCAGTCGATGGCCTCGTACAGCTCCTGCCTCTGCTCCTCTGTCATCTGTGTGTTTTCGTCGTCGGACGTTGTCTGTTCCTGGGGCTTCGACCCCCAGATCCAGTCGACCCAGCCTTGTGGTTGTTCTTGCTTGGGTGGCTGATTCTTCAGGGCCGCGGCATTCTCCTTCTTAAGCTGGTTGCGAGCCAGAGATCTCCAGAAACGGAGATCCTCGTAGTCGAGCTTCCACTCGAGCTTGTTCAGATCGTCATTCTCTTGCTGCGAGAGCTGCTGACTCTGCTTCTTCTTCTTGAAAAGCTCGATGTATCGTATCCGGTCGTCCCGGCGCTCCTTGAAGTATTCCCATGACCATCGTCGGTTGCGCTCGTGGATCTTGCTAAGGACCGCGTCACCGGCGAACTTGAGCCAGGCACGTGGGTCTTCCTTGGGTCTGACACCCTTGGGCTGGTACTTCTTGTATTCCTGGTGACGGATGAAGTAGTGGAAAAGGTCCACCATCATCAATGAGTCTCGGTATTGGTCGTCATCAAGAACGACACCGATCTCGTCGAAGAGCAGGTTCGCCTTGTATTTTGGGATGTGCACATCGCCTGACTTGTCTAGTTCGATCTTGGCTTGCCCACTAACAGGCTTCAGGATGAACTGGTGGTTGACCCCGACATTCTTGTCAGTCGTGCCAATCATTGCCTTGAAGGTCTTGATCATCTCGGAATGCTCCATTGGTGGCTCATCGGAGGAGCTGGCCTCCCGGCCGGAGCCGTAGAGCTTAGTATCGGTATTCCAGTACACCGACAGGGCGCCGAGGGTGGCTAGCTTGTGGGTGGTCTTGGAGGAGTCCTGGATGAAGGTTGGCTTCCAGTTGCCGTCGGTGCTGACAGCACTGAATTCCTCAAGCGTGACACCCAGGGCAAAGGGGTGCCCTGGGGCCGATATCGAGTCTTCGTATCGCACGTGGATGTTCTTGACCGTGACCTGCAAGTTGTCGACGATCTTGGTGACCAGGCTGTCTGTGAAGCTCTGGCTCTTCTTTTGCTCTTCCTGTGTCAGGCCCTCTTGTGACCGCTCCTTCAAGAGCTCGGCAGAATCCAGCTTCTCCATCTTGATCCTCTGCTTGCGGCGGTCCTCCTCGTCCTCGTCATATTGGGCCTCCTCTTTTGGGCTTGCCAGCAGGAAGACATTCTCGATAAGGATGCGCACCGGGGCGCCGCGGAGGTTGGACCAGGGGATGATCAAGGTCAGCTCGCTGAGGTGGCCCTCGACGACGTTTATGGGGAGGTTGAGCTGGTCGAGGGCCTCCTTGCGAAGCTCGAGGTCCCGCAGCTTGACGTCTCCAGACCAGATGCCGACTTTTAGCTGTGTTGGGTCGAAGTTCTTGACGTACATGCCCAAGAAGCGGTTGAGCAGACCGGCAACGAGTCCCTCAAGCATGATGGGCAGTTGTGTGGCCGGTTACCCAGGCCGGGGTACGATGGAACTTGTAAGTTACGTCGCACAGGTCATCGATTACTTGGACACGAGGCAGGCAGACTCGAGGAGGCGGAGGAGGCACGGCAGTGAGAACAGCAGCGGTGGTTAAGAGACGTGTCGGGTGACAGGGACGGTGAGGTCGGATGAAGCTGGTTAGGGTATCTCGTCACGTCGTCATTCAAAAAGGAAGGGAGGGCAAGTCGCTAAGTTGCTGCTGGCGCCAGACGGACTATTAGCCTAGCTTCTACCAAGGACGAAGGAACCGCCGTCGTATTGCCCAACCACAGCTTCACGGCGTCAGGCTCCTAGACAGAATCACCGAGCCACCCGGAGAGAGGGGCAGTGAAGAGAGGGTGCGCACGTACTCAATGAATAGAGACGGAGACGAGTGGCTGCTGCGTAGGGCGGAAAGTAAACAAAGGCTGTGTTGGCCGTGGCGAAGCCGATGCGGAATCAAGGAAGGGCAAAAAAATAAGAAGCAGCAAGTGGAGGGATCATGCAACCGGCAAAGCAGTTAGTTTGGCACAGGACAGGCTGGAAGAGAATGCAGCAAGCAGCAATACTGGGGAACTTGGATGCTGGCAGTATTGGGCCGAACCAGGGAGGACGGGTAGGAGTGGGAATTGGGACAGGACAATGGATGGCAGAGGCAGAACCCGGTTCGACGTCAGCCATAAAATGGAGGGGGGGTGGAAGCAGGCTGTGGCGCAGATGACGATTCGCAGCAGATCCTCGCGGCTCGAGTTGTGGCACACTAGGAACAAGGAGGAGCTCCAGGCCGGGTTGGGGCCAACACTGCCAGGACCGCACTACTGGGTGGGGCAGGGACTGGCAGACTGGTCGTGAGTTGCTGCCAGGAGCTGCAGGTGACAAGGGGGGCTTTTGGTCCTTCCTCGACGTCACTCGCCCGACGCGTCAGGAGCTTGGGCCATCGACCCATCTTCCGTGTCCTCTCCCCCACTTTCTACCCCCTCCCCCCACCTGTGCAGCTGTGTCGGGCAGGTGTGGGGCGAGACAACCCTTACCCTTTTCTTTTTCGATCGAGGAAATATGGAGCAAAAATGCATCCCTTCCCTCATGAAGGGCCCCAGAAAGCTTGACTTGACATACCACAGGCGATTGCCGCAGATGCATAAGCTTAAATGATAAACTCCTGCTGACCCTTGACATATAAAGTCGCTCAGATTTCTGCAATGTCATTGCCTCTACGTTGTCTCATGCACTCTGGCTGTAGTGGTTTGTGTTGACGGCCCCAAAGTGCATCTCATATATTCTGTGCAGCTGACCTGTCGACTTTGCTTTACACGACCGCCACAGGATCAATTCACGGCAGTATACTGCTTTTGATCCTCTTGAGCATAAAAGAGGCTTGCCGTGAGGCTATCTTCAACAACCACCACCCAAGTTTAGGTTCGCCCGGACTCTTCCCAAGAAAATAACATCCGAGGCCAGGGGACCCTAGGCAGACTCCGGTACCCTCTTCACTAAATTTCCTTACACGTTCGTAACCTTTTTCATTCGCTCATTATTGCCAGATGCATTTTAATGGGGACCACAGTTCGGATGAATAAAGTGTCCATCTCTGTCAAGCCAGCACAAGTACTGAGCCTGCCGAGCACAAGGCGCAGCATCATGACACGAACTCGAGATGGAGTCGTATTCGGATCCCAGAACGAGCCGAGGAGTAGACGAGACCGACTTGTGATTGCCTAATAATCTCCAACAAGAAGCCCGTCATTTAGTGCTGCCAGGGGCCGCTTCTTCAACCACCAACGTGCATTGTGTCTGTGACACTCACACCCTCGCAACAAATTCACAACCCAGAGAAACAATTACAATGGCAGAAAAAACAGAGCCAAAGACAGCTTCATCACCACCGCCCTGCAAGGGCACCATCCTCGTCACAGGCGCCAACGGCGGCCTGGGCAGGGGCTACATCACCGCCCTCAGCAGAACCCCCTACGCCAAGGCCCATCGTGGCATCTACCTGGACCGCGACGACGCCGCGGCGCGGGACCTGGACGCCTTCGTCAAGGCCAAGGTGCAGCCGAGGTGCCCCGGCCACGAGTACGAGACGGCGGCCCTCGACCTGGGCAGCCTGGCCAAGATCCGCGCCTTCGCGGCCGACATCAACGCCCGCGTGGCGAACGGCTCCCTCGGGCCCATCCGCGCCCTGGTCCTCGTCGCGGGCTACCTGGACGTCGCGCCCGAGGCCTCCAAGCCCCGGCGCTTCACCGAGGACGGCCACGAGATGGTGTGGGGCATCAACTACCTGGCCAACTTCCTCCTGGTGCTGCTCCTCCTGCGGTCGATGGACAGCGAGCACGGCCGCGTGGTCATGGTCTCCAGCTGGTCGCACAACCCGTACGACAGGCGGAACGCCGTGACCAAGCACCTCGGCCTGCCCGAGTACAAGGTGCAGTACCGCGATACCGAGGCCCTGTCCAAGGGCGTTGAGTACCCGGATGACGGGCAGAAGGCCGGGCTGAGGAGATACGGGGCCAGCAAGGCGTGTCTGGTGATGTTCATGTGAGTCTCTCTCACTTCCGTCGACATCCCCCGGCGCCTGCCTGCAACAAATGAGCTCACGCAAAAGCAACAAACAGGTTCGAGCTCCAGCGGCGCCTCTCGGTGGACCCGGAGCTCTCCAAGATCTCCGTGCTGGCCATGGAGCCCGGCGCCATGGTCACCAACATCTCGAACGGGGCCAAGATGCCCTCCAAGACCGTGACCAAGGTGGTGGTGACGCTCTCCAAGCTGACGTCTGCCGTCGCGCCCAACTCGCCCCTGCGCACGCCCCTCAAGTCCGGCGAGCACCTGCTGCGCGCCACCTTCGACACCAGGGAGCTGGGCGAGCGCCCCAAGGCCGCCTACCTCGACGGCGGGAAGAGGCGGAAGCCCGGTGCCGAGGTGCAGGACGAGGAGAAGCAGAAGAGGCTGTGGGGCGATACTTTGACGCTGGTGAGGCTGGATCCGGGCGAGACGGCGCTCCAGGACCTGAGTGTCTAGGCACGATGTTTCCGACCCTGCAACCCGAGCTTTATGCTGGCCATTTTAGAGATCGGATATTCGCACCCGCAAAAATGGAGGGTACACCTAAGCCCCAAGGAATAAACTCCTATAGGACAGCCTCCTACAGGACAGCCTCCTACAGGACAACCTCCTAGGACAACCTCCTAGGACAACCTCCTAGGACAACCTCCTAGGACAACCCCTATGGAATAACCTCCTCTAGGAAAACCTTCTTTGGGATAATATCCTATAGGATTCGCCCATAAGACAACTAGTTCGGTGCTGACCTGAGTACTTTGATCTCTAAGCTGCCCACCTAGGTACTAGGGGTGTACCCTCCATTTTGGCGGTGCGAATATCTGGTCTCCCATTTTAATAGGAAGGGTTCCTGTAAATTTTATTGGCAAATATGGAGTCCAAAGGTTTATGTCATGAACGGAGTTAGGATCAACAAAAGCATTTTTCGGATTTGTTCTTGTTTCTATTGCCTGTGGACCTTGTAGGCGTGTTCTGCAGTCAATGGTAAATAGGTGAGTGAGGCCATCGCCAATTGCCGCCGAAATGGGCAAGATCGGCTAATCGGCCAAGCCCCAAGAGCCTGGACCTAGATGCGCGACAGGGGGCTACCGCCTGAGATTAGGGGGATGACGCAAGGGTTGGGGCTGGATCTTGGTAGCTGGAGCTGGGAGCTCTGCCGCGGCTCAGTGACGTCAAGGCTGTGTAACGCTGCGGTAGATAGCTTCAGGTCCCGGGAGCGGGCGATCTTGGTCCAGGTATCTGGTTTCCAGAATATGATGTGAATTCTGGGTAACGGTGCGGTTGCCAGGATATTTCTCGGCACCCCCGAGAGGTTATAGTCCTTACTTCTCCCAGCTTCCAGTTCTGGGACTGCCAGTGTCCAATTCTCGAGCACGCCTTCGCTTGCTCTCTCTCAATAATAAGAACGACTACGATATCCCGAGACCAATCCTTGGCCGTGCCCACGAAACCTGCACCAATCCCAGAATGCTTCGAAGCACGAGACCACTCCTAGGGGTCCCAGCAAGGGGCCTCCCCAGGGCGACAGCCTCAATTGCACCATTCTCGACCTCCCAGACACGAAAACACACCTCCGGGACACCGCGCCGAGCCCAGCCCCCCGCGGCGAGGCGGCCGGGACAGCTTGGCCCATTGGTGCAGCGGGCGGGTTACGCCAATGACAACACACGGGACACGAAGCTCGAGAAGGAGGTGGCTCGGAAGAAGCTCGAGTCCCACCCGGAACAGGTCACCGAGGACTCGAGCACCCGAGCATCCTACGAGGGGCCACAGACCAGGCCCAGCGACCCCAACACCACCGAGGGCGTGAAGAAGGACCTGGTCAGTCGTTGAAACAATGGGGTTGAAAGGGAATTGGCATCCTGCTAACACTCTGAACTCATAGAACCGGCTGGTCGACACGTTCAAACTCGAAGAAGTGCCTTCGATCTCGCTCAAGCTGGGCCTCGCCGGCACACTGCCTTACCTCGGAACATCTCTGGGCACAACCTACCTCGCCTGGGTCCTGAACACGGAGTGGCCGTCCCAGTCCCAGTTCCTAAACCACTTCCTGATGAGCCACGAGAGCGCGAGCCACTACCTGCACCTGCTCGAGCCAGTCCAGGTGGGCTACGGGGCAGTCATCATCTCCTTCCTGGGCGCCATCCACTGGGTAAGGACCGGGCCAGACCACGCATCCTTCCAACATCATGGGCCGAAGCGCTAACAAATCCCCCCCAGGGCCTCGAGTACGCAGAGAAGCACCCCGACAAGGCCCGCACGACCTTCCGCTACGGCCTGGGCGTGCTGGCGCCCGTCCTCGCCTGGCCGACCATGGTCATGCCGGTGCAGTACGCCCTGACCTCCCAGTTCGCCGCCTTCACCTTCATGTACTTTGCCGACGCGCGCGCCACGACGCGCGGGTGGGCGCCCACCTGGTACAACACGTACCGCTTCGTGCTGACCGCCATCGTCGGCGCGTCGCTCTTCATCAGCCTCGTCGGCAGGGAGAAGGTCGGCGCCGAGGCGCCGCGGCTGTCGGGCCTGCGCGAGAGGTTCCACAAGGAGGGGCCCGACCACCTCGAGATGAAGAGGCTCGAGGAGATGGAGGCCGTCGAGCTCGAGAAGAACAGGCGGAAGAAGGCGGCCGAGGACAGGAGGGCGGCTGCCGAGGAGGAGATCCGGAGGCTTGAGGAGGAGAAGGAGAGTGCTGATGCTGATGCGAAGGAGGCTGCGGAGGGGAAGCCCGTCAAGAAGGGTAAGGGGGGTAAGCCTGCGAAGGGCAAGGGTGAGGGTAAGGATGCTAAGGAGTCCAAGGGGGAGGAGAAGTCTGAAGGGGGTGACGAGGATGAGGGCAAGGACGAGAGCAAGAATGATGAGGGCAGCGATGGTGAGGAGGAGGGTAGCAAGGAGGGGGGAGGTGAAGACAAGAAGGGAGAAAAGAAGGAAGGCAAGAAGGACGACAAGAAGGATGACAAGTCCGAGTAATCTTTGGAGCGAAGGCTTTTTTGCGAGGCGTTCTGGTCCGGGTCACATATTAGCATTTCCTTCGGCTCGATCAACTGTCATCCTGTCTAGAGCGAGACTAGTCTAGATAATTTAACATAATAGTCTGTTAAAATGATCCTTGAGAATCCCATCACCTCAGGGCATGAAAGCCACCGCGGGTGTACCCAGGTATGCGATTCTACCAGCTATATCGGCCAAAAGTACTTAGGTATATCCTCTACTACGACAACGTCGATTCCATCTTCAAAACACGACTGCGCCAAAAGAGGGTGGTCGAATGCCACCACAAGGGAACATTGAAAAGGACCACATCGTCATTTGGACAAATTCGCCTAGGCACGGTGGCCAGCGAAGGTGCCCGGTTGCGTTACATTCCCCAATGCTCTGCTCGCACACGTGCGTGCCTCATCCCAACTCGTCGGCAGCCCGCCATTCACATGCGGTTCCGCCTCACAGGCATCCCAAGGTAAAACAAATCATGCGGCTCCAGCGCAGGGATCCGGCGCACGGGACGAGGCGCTGGTAACACGTCAATCCTGTGAAAATTGCCTGATCGGGCTGGCTATTCGATGTTGAGCTGGCGTCGGCGTACGTCATCTTTCATCGAGTGCAGAATGTGATCTTCTGGGGATATAATAGTTGTGCGCTGGCACGTATTGAGACTGTCGAGAGGGCATCAATATTATTTAACTTCGCACTCTTACCCCCACCGACTGCAGGCTTTTTGTGGTCTTCTTAAGTTCAAGTTATGCACCAAGTGCCACTTTAAAGCGCTACATTGATCTTCCGTCCTCGAATCACACTCAAACGTTATTATGGACCCGTAAGCCTTCTCCCATCCACCCACCCCCTCTGACCACTGGCAGTTCATAGGGCTAATGCTGACCTGCCTACCTACCCTCAGCGCCGCAGAGCCACATCGCGCGCACGGCCCGAGGCGAGGCGTCGGCATGGCAGGGGACATTGTCGCCTCCGTGTCCAAGGGACTTGAGGCGCTGACATGTGGCCACCGGAACCCTGTGAGCGAGATTGTTGGCATCGTGTCGGATGGGCTGAAGCGCGGGGCTGGGGAGACACCGAACAGGCACCCGAAGAAGGTGAAATGAGGAGGCTCTGGGGGTGAAGGCGTTGAGGATTATCATAGGTTTCACAACTGGGCATTGCGAAGTTGGTTTTGCAGACAGTCGCTCAGATTTCAAGTTACCAATATTGCTAGCTCATTTCGTTTTTGTATCTGGTGAAAACAAAACACGAGCGTTCCCTCCCCTGTTACCTTGGTATCCTTCCATATGTCGGTTATTAACAATACTGACAGCACAAGACTAAGCTGAATTATCAATATCATGACCCATATGTAGCCTCCCACGGCTGGTATCCGGCGTCCTGGAAGATCTTCTCAATCTGCCGCCTTCTGACGCCGACATTCCCGCCATCGAATATGGGCAGGACCATGGCGTCGTTGAGCAGCCTGGAGAAGGGCTGCGTCTTCGCATAAGATGTTCTTCAGAATGACCAAATGAGCACGCGTATTCTTCTTCCGACAGGGTGAGGTTGGAAGCACATGACTTACATCCCAACGGCCTTCATGGCGTCCACAACACTCTGCACCGCGGCCTCGGACGAGTAGATCTTGGCCTCGAGGGCCAGCTCGAGCCTGGCCTTCCAGCCCCCAGGCCCGTTCTCGATGGCATGCAGCGCCTTCCACGTCAGCAGCCGGCCCGCCTCGGCCCGTATCTTGATGTCGATCAGCAGGTCCGCGACGCTCTGCCGCCCCAGGACCGGCGCGCTGCCCCCGCGCGTGTCCTCCCCGGCGAACTTGAGCGCCGCGTCGAAGGCCGCCCGCATGATCCCCACGCCCATCGCGCCCACCAGCGCAGCCGACGAGCCAAAGGTCTGCTCGACGACCTGGGCGCCCTTGCCCGGCGGGCAGAGCAGGTTCGCGCCCGGCACGCGGAGGTTCGTGAAGCGGCTGTGGGGGCCCGACGCCGAGGGGAAGCCGGCCAGCTCCTGCTCGCCGAGCACCTCGTACGCCCCGGGCTCGTTGGCGGCGATCACGTCGGGCGTCACCAGCAGGATGAGGATGTCCCCCGCGGGATCCCGGGCCGGGTCCGGGGGGCCGCCGTCCTCCGAGTCCGAGTGCCGGCAGACAACACACTGCAGGTCCGCGCCCTTGCCGTCCCACCCGCCGCTGTTGGTAGTCCACATCTTCTCCCCGCTCACAACCCACGCACCCCCCTCCCGCCTCGCCGTCGTGCCCAGCCCCTTGGCCCCCCTCTCGAGCCAGTTCGCCGTCCCGCCGGGCTCAGAGTGCACGAAGCTCGCGAGCGGCGCCCCCTCGCCGCTCAGGAACGGCGGGAGCAGCCGCGCCCGCTGCTCCTCGCTCGCGGCGATGATAAACGGCGTCAGCCCCAGCCCCGTGCCGAGGATCGTCAGCGCCGCTGACGGCTCGACGGCGAAGAACTCCTCCACCAGGATCGCCGCGTCGACGAGGCCCTGCGCGGACCCGCCCAGTGCCGCGGGTACCTGGCCCTTTATCAGGCCCGCCTGCACCGCGGCCTCGTAGGCGGGCCGGGTCGCGCGGAACCGGGCCTCTTGGGTTGCGTGCTGCGAGTAGGCCTCGCGCGCGGGCCGGAGGTGTGCCTCCGCGAAGGCGGCCGCGCCGGCGCGGAGCTGGTGCTGCTCTTTGGAGAGGGTGAAGTCGATCATTGTTTTCTTTTTCTGTTTCACAGTAGTGATCGTATTCTTGGAAGGGGAAGGGGAAGGGGATTGCAATAAGGTGTCCTTGGTGGTAGATCTGAAATGTACTCGCAGCTGAATTCAGAATCTGACATAATCCTCGTCTTACAACCCCGCTGCCGTCGATACGAGGTTAGTCTACCTTGAACACAATAACTGTGTCTTTAGCCCCTTTTGCCAAATATGACAATAATACTTTTCCACGTCCAAGCTCCTGGCAACACTCAACGCCCCAGTCGGTATACTTCCGACCAGCCACTGTGATGATAATTATGTGTGAGGACATAAAATCTTGATCAGATCCCTTTAACCGCGAGAGTGTGATTTACACCTAAGGGGGGGTGGTTGTATCACAGTCTTCCTTATTAAGGAAGCCAAGTAGTGCGGTTCGGAACAGCTTAGAACCAATGGAGTCTGGAAACGCTAAGCCTGTCCCAGTGGTGCCCACGTGAGCACCGGAATACTCTGAACTTCGAAAAAGGTCTCCAACCTTGCAGGGAGGCGCGTTGAGGGTCCAGCAGGGCATGGCAACAAAGTGACAGATGATCAAACAACTCCAGTCACATACCACGATGTGCCTTGTCCCGAAGGTCGTGGCATAAGCAGGGTTGCCGCTCACTGCACTCAATATAACAATTTAGTATAATATATATTAATAAGCCCACTATACCCTATTATACTAAATGTGTTGGACTATAGTAAAGGCCTTACTATGTATAGTTCAATAGGTTTAGGTGTAAAAGGGGGGAATAGGAGAGGAAGAGGGAGATGGGAGAGGGAGGTGGAAGAGGGAGGAGGGAGGAGGGAGGACGGAGGAGGGCGGAGGTGTTGCTCGTTCTTAATTCCCCTGGAGAGAAACCCGTGGTCTGTCAGTGCTGTGGAGAGCTTGAAGATAAAGTCATAGAGTTGACTGGAACTCAAGACAGAGATCAAAGTTGGGATTGGTCTTGACCCACTCTAGGTATGTTGAACGTTTTGGGTGATGTCATGTGATTTGTTTGGTGAGTTTGCGTTGAAGAGAAGACGTGATTTGAGAAGCGCAATAATATCAATCAGGTGCAGTGGTCTAGAAGTTCTTGTATTTGCTCTTGTCTCTAGGGCTATTTTTGCATGCCTGGATGATAGACCGGGTGGATGGCCTTCCTCTGGAGATAGACTCCCCGGAAGTCACGCGAGAGATTGTGAACACAGGGCAGGCAACTTGCACCCTCCATTGGGCTCATTGCATTTCGTGCGGCACAGGATATTACAAACCCTGGGAACCAACAGGTTCTGGTGGCAGGGGCGCAACTAAGATCCGCAACAGGTCTGGTGAGGCAAGTAAAAAGTGTGATATAGTTGGAATGTTCATCCGTTGGAAGTATGAGGACTATTATTTGCTAAACTTCAGCTCCTTGGTCACAGGTTCGTATAAGGCACTCTGCTCTTCGCCCCCAAATCTCCGCAGGAGCCACTCCTGCTGGAATCTCTCAGACTCTTGCCACTCTCGAGGGGCCCATCCTTCAAAGTCAACAGCCAGAGACCAATCCCAAAAGAGTTCCATAGGGTTCACCGGGTAGGCCAGGCTCTCAAGACGGTGTTTCCCCATAAGGGTACAGCTATAAACCGTAGACACGTTGAAATCAACCAGCACAACGCGTGGGACAGGAATGCTAGCGTTGTTGCCGCTGCTGAGTCTGGCGCGGGTATCGGCAACGAGCATGACATGGCGGCTGTCTAGATCCCCATGGTTAACGCCCCAGTGCATACAACGCGCATGGATATCCAGGAGTCGCGCCAGTACCTCGAGGCGGTAGTCCTCCGGCAGGTGGAATGCATCCAGGCGGCTGTAGTCGAGGTAGTCATTGTGGATGAGCGAGCCGTGCAAATCCAGCCCTTCAATGTGCTCAATCAGGAGCACTCGCACAGGCCTCTGATATGCAACTCCTTGGATTGTGATAGGCAGCTTGAAAGTCCACGATCCATAGAACTCTGGGACACCTCTGCCGGTCTCCCCGCAGGACATGAGGCGCTTGTAAGCAGCAACCTCCCTGGTATAGTCCATATCTGCTCGAGCTGTGACGTCGCGGGGTATCCGGGCTAGATCATGCGTGAAGCGGTAGTAAAGTGCATCAAAGATCTTTGCAACGGCCTGTAACGGCGCCCGGCCCGGTGGTGAAACGGTGCAACGGACTATCTGAGCGCCATGGCCACAGCCGACACGAATGTATGAAGAGACAGCGAGTTGTGCGGTTTGTTCCTGCTGTGACTGTGGTGTAGAGATGGCAGTGGGTGTGGTCGAATCCGCCTCCAGCGGCGGGTGTGAAACAACAAGGGCGCTCTGCGTCGTGGTCTCGAGGTCTGAAGGCGCCTTGCGGGGCCAGGGGCCGTAGTCATTCTCGTCACCAAACGGTGGAGGTGCTTCATGAGGCTCGATCTGCACCGTGAAGCCCGGTATGTAGGGCAGGCTGGGTCTGTCCGGGTCTTGCTTCGGAGCCCAAAGTGTGATTGGGCCGGCTGTGGCCGCGGGCAGCTCAGGGCAAAATTGTCGAATCTGCTCCAGCAAAATGTCATGTTCTGTATCCATTGTAACTGAGCGCTGTGATGACCAGAGGAACTGAGTGGTTTCGTTTCTAATCCCCATACATCTGAAACGTATGTGACGCCTTCATACAGCGTTGAAGGTTACGCTTTGTTTCTCGTTGGGAGGTTGAAGAGCTTCATTACTTTACCTAGGTACTTAAGAACATATGTACCTAGGTACCTAGGTGCTTTTGGGTGGTGGGGAAATAAATCAGGCAACCAACACCCGCAATACCCACAGCTTGAAGGTTGCCTAGGACGGGACCACTTGAAAAGCCCACTCCGACAATAAACACGATTCTATATATTCCAATCTTGCAACAAACTCATCCTGTTGGCCTCGTCTCACATTATTCTGCGGTCTCCACCATCACCAATTATACAAAACGCTCCACCAAAACGGCCTGAGGCTCAGTCGCCGTCCTTGTCACGAAATATGGCCCCAAATCCTTAGAGCAGTCCCTCCACCCAACAAAATGTCGCTCAACCGAATCGAAACTTGAACATTACAGTTATCCCCGCTTCTAAGGGGAAAGGGCTAATTCTGGCGGTCTCACTCGCCAGGGCCTACATGACTTAGCATCAAAACACTTTCAAGACATGGTCAACAGAGAGAGTCGTGGAAAGGCGGAAACCAGTCACCCCGTCACAGCCATGGAGGGTCTCAGTGTCGAAGAGAAGGCAGCAACAGAGCCTGGAGGTTTTGATGTTCCGATGGTTACAATCCATACTATCTTGAATTCGCTTGAACCTTTTAATTACAATGACACGGGTCGGAACACGACGATCTTTAGAACGCCCGTTGAGGTAGCAGACATGGAAGTGCTGGAAAAGACTGACGAGAATAAGACGGATGACAAGCTTGGAGACCAGACGTCAACGAAGAACAGGGAGAAGATTCTCAGCCACTCATAAGCTTACCTCTGTTCAGCTAAATTGAGACTTTTGCTCTTTTTTCTGCCTATTCGTAAGGTTGGGATATCCACTTCCAAGTCAACAGCTCGAATTTAAGGTATTGCAGGGCACTTATATGTGCAGAAGAAATGCAATTTCAGAAAACCCTCTTCAGGGACGGGGTTGTATGGTGGGCCACCGCGACCAATACTGTGTGTCAGGTACGTCCGTCCCGAAGTCAAGGCCTGATCTCAGTAATATTCCGCCTTGATTTTCCGAAGTCTTCCGTGGACTTGTGAATCCTATAAACGACTTATGTGACTAACTTAATTTGATACGCTGGTTGCCCTGACTACCTAGGTATGAAATCAATAAACCTACAGACAATGTGTGGTTTCGCTTCTATTCTGTATATATCTAGAGAACGGAAATTCGCGCACCCTCAATCGAAAGGCGCGCACCCTCCCTATTATTCGGCCAATCAGAGTACAGAACCTCAAAGTCTTCACGACTTTAACAAATAAGCCTTCTTCACAATTAAGGGACCACAAACAGGGCAGGTTAGTCCTCTAGGACTCAGGTCGTACCTACCGACCCTACTCACAGCCCTCCGCTATGCTTCGCACTCTAGGGCTCGCCCCCTTCACCCTAACCGACCCTTCAAGAAGAAGTTATCTTGTATTCTATACTTCTTAGTTAGCAGATGGGTGCGCGCCTTCCGATTGAGGGTGCACGAATTTCCGTTCTCTATATCTGAGGGTATATATAGCGGCTTTATACAGTAGTAAGCACTCAAGACTTAGCGCTTAAAAAGAATACAATGCCAATAACAATAGTTATAATACGATAGGTACTTATAGCCTTAGCCTTATAACGCACAGATAAGGCTAAGCGGCACTGTCTTGATGACGGCGTTGACTAGAATCGTGGATAGAAGTAGCCCACGGGCTAGTTGCCGCGAAGGAGTCATACGGCGAGACTACAGACAATATTATATCTATATCTCCTGACACGGCCGAGTTGCTGTAGTTGAAGCATCAATCACTTTCTCTATGGAGAATCCTACGTTTTCTTGTCGTAAATGAAAGCATGGACTTCGGCGATCAAGCTTTAAAAGCTTGGATGCGGGACGATAGGTAGGCCGATGCGAACATTCACGTTGCTGTTTGAATATGAATATATACTTTGAAATAGGACAGTTGGTTCCCGAGGCTTCTTGCGATATGAAGCCGCTCCTAGAGGAGGAGCAACCCAATTACGGCACACCACGCCCGGCTCTGGTTGCTTTAGCAAGCTCGCTTTGAGCCTTATCAGTGTGATACCGCTCATAAATGGGGAGATAGTGTTTCTTCTCGCTTAATGTGTTCTTCACGCTGTCCCTCCCCTCAATGGCAGCCGCCCACCTCCTCCACCTCTCCCAGGCCTTCTCATCCGAGCCACCCTCACCAGGCTTTGGAATCCCCAGGCCACCCTCCTTGAAGTGGTCAAAGACCCACAGCCGTACCGCCCACGGCCCCATGATCACGTCTGGCATGCTCAGCTCCTTTCCCGCGAAGAAGGGGCCCTCCGGGTCAGCATCCTTGATCCAGGTGACAAGAGTGTTCAGGAACTCCTTTCGCGCCTCGTCGATGCTGTAGGGCTTCTCAGGCGTGTGCTGCAGGAAGCGGTGGAAGGCCGGGATGATGCGGCTGGTGACATAGTCGATCGACACGCGCAGCTTGGCCTTCCTGAACGGGTCGTCCCGCGGGTACAGCGGGACGTCCGGGAACGTCTCGTCCAGGTAGTCGCATATGACGCCCGACTCGATCAGCGGCTGCTCGCCCTTGTCGGCCGTGGGCACGCCGAGGGTGGGCACCAGCCCGCGCGGGTTGAGCGCCAGGAACGACGGCTCCTTCTTGTAGGGGTTGATCTCCTGGTAGCGGTAGGGGATTCCCTTCTCCTCGAGGGTCATCCAGACGCGCTGCACGAAGGGGCAGAACCAGCCGGAGTAGAGGACGTGCTCGCCTGGCTTGCTTTCGTGCGAGTGCGCCTTGACGATCTCGGCTGCGGGGCCGGTGGCCACCGGGTGGAGTTGCTCGTCTGGGAGAGGAGTCATTGCTGGTGTCGAATTGTGCTTACCGCCTGGGCAGTTTTGTGGATGTAGATGTTGTATCAAGGAAGAGTCTTGAGTTATGCAATGATGAAGAATAGAAAAGAGGAAGTTGGGATGCTAGCGTTCGATTAATAATAACTGAATCGTGTGACGCAATGGAGACACTGAGCTGTACTTCCCCACTCCCGGCATTGATGGTGTAGATGTCGACATCAAGTTGCATCAACGCAGCTCCCCCATCTTTGAAAGATCTTGAATTCCTGCTGGTCGAATGCATCATTTTTATGGTACACACGATTCAGTGGGCAACGCATTATTGTGTGGTTGATGCAAATGGCCGCGACAAGACGGAGCAGGCGATCCTGCATAGGTATTCATATAACATGCAGCTGTCGCAATTACTTCCCATCCAAACCGTCCAAAGTGGCCATGTCTTCCGAGGATATGTCAAAGTCATACAGCTGGGTGTTCTGAACAATCCTTTCCTTGTGGACGCTCTTTGGCAGAGGCACCCATCCCTTCTGGAGACAGTACCGGATCAAGATCTGCGCCGGCGACTTCTTGTACTTCTTGCCAATCTCACCAACGGTAGGATCATCGAGCTTCCTCCCGTTTTCCAGTGGACTATATGCCTGGAGTACTATGCCATTTTCCTCACAGTATTTGGTGATTTCTTTCTCCTGGACCCATGGGTTGAGCTTGACGCACCGTGTAAGCCAAGATCGCTGCGGAGATCGCCACTTGCATAGATGCTGAAACAGACGAAGCGCTTACCTTGATCTGATTGACATGCGGCGGCCAAACAGTAGCATACTCCTTCATACCCTGTATATTCTCACCATTGAAGTTACTGACCCCAATGCTCCGGGTCTTGCCCTCCTTGAGCAACCTCTCCAGCGCCTGCCACACATTCTTGATCCCCTCGGGGCCCATACGCGGGGTATGAATCAGGAACAGATCCACATAAGCATCGGCGTCCGGGCCATCGCCGTTAATCTTGTTGACGCTCTCCACGAGGCTCGCATAGTTGGCGTCCACGCTGCCCAGGTCCCGCGGGATCTTGGTCGTGAAGAAGACGTCCTTGCGTTTGACGGCGCTGGACGAGCGCAGGGCCGCACCGGCCTCGGCTTCGTTGCGGTACGCCTGTGCCGAGTCGACGTGCCGGTAGCCGGCCTCGAGGGCCGTCTCGACCACGGAGGTGCACACGGCGGGGTCAATCTGCCACACGCCGAAGCCTAGGCGCGGCATGGTCACGCCGTTGGAGAGCTTGACCACGCTGTCGAGCTTGAGGTCCGCGGAGGATGTACCCCAGATTCGGGAGGTGACGGCGCCCATGTTTGTGGGTTCAAGCGAATCGTTCTTTACGTTTCTGAGTCGTTGGCCAGAAGAAAGTGTTCTGTGGGCACCTAGGTTGAAACACAGGCAGATTGCTTCCCAAGTTGGATTATTGAATGGGTAGGTGCCGCATATGTATTGTGCCTGAGCGGCCCCTCCGCGGTGACGGAATGTGACAGCAAGGAGCTTGGCCCGTCCGGGAAGGTAATTAGCTTCCGGGTGTTGCTGTGCAGATCCCGGCGATAAAATGGTACCACTGAAGATGCGGACAGGCGTCATCCATTACAAGTTGACTAAGATTTGCCTTCATTCCAGGTCTTCTGTGGGGGCAATAGTGTTCTAAAACTAACATAAGCCGAGCTGAGCCTTTGCGATCTAAAGATGCTCAAGTGGTTTCGTTTTTAATCCCTATACATATAAAATATATATAGTACCTTCATATAATAGTAAATATTTAAAATCTAGTATTTAAAGAAATATAGTATTAATAATAGTAGAAAGAGAATATAGTATATAGGTATATAATTAAGTTTTATATTATATAAATAAGGTTAAAAGGTATTACTCTTAATAATATTATATTAAAAAGTTAGTAAAGTAGTTATATAATAAGATTAAAATAGTTTTTTAAAATAACCCTTATAAAAAGAAGAATTCTATAATATAAGATTTAATAAGCTAGCTTTTTCTATTAATATACTTAATAGTTATTTAAATCTACCTTTATTAAATAAGTTAAATATATTATAATCCTTATCTTAAGTATATAGTTAATAAAATAGTAATATTATAATAATAAATTTATTTAAGAAAGCCTTTTATATAAATTTTATAAAAGATTAAAACTCTTTTAAAAAGTTAAGTAAAATTTATTTACTATATATTAATTAAATATTATTTAAAAAAAGTAAAAGTTTAGATATTTAAGAATTAAATCTTCCTTTTTTAAGTATACTATTTTATTATTAAAGATTTATCTACTTTTATATAATATATAAGAAATATAATAAAAAAAGGAGCTCTATAAAGGAAGTTAGTAACTTTATATATAGATAAGTTTAAGGGTATATATTAAATAATTATTAACTTTATATTTAAGGCATGAACTAATAGTTAGTTTAAAAGTTAAGAAGATAATAAATAGATAAATAGTTAAATAAAAATATAATGTGGCTAAAGCCCTAAAGATGCTCGAATACTGATGGTGCCTGCTTTCGGCCTCAACATTTCAACGGCCAGGCTTCTAGAAACTCCTCAAGTCAACCAAGCCGAGACTGTTTGACGTAATCATCTTTGCTTGCCCAAGGTCTTGGGGAAACCTGCATATTAAAGTTTGGACGGTCCTGAAGCCGAAGAAAGGTCTATATTCTGAGAGACTATATGCCATCACTATAAATACCTACTCAGCTCGAGTCCCATGAAGATACAGATATTTCTTCCTTAGTTGGCTTCGGGACTTTCATTGAATGTTTCCAACCGACTGTGCCTCGGAATGGCTCTTCACTCTCGATGAAATCCAGAACAAGCATCCTGCTAACAGGCCCCGAAACCATATGCGTGATTGCGAACTCATCCATCTTGGGTACCGCGGGCAGCACGTACCGGTCCAGGAGATGCAGGATGCAATTCCGCCAGGCCGACATGCGCGTCCAGGAAGCCGATGACTTCATATCGTTCTGGAGAAGCTCCATACGAGCAGCCTGGTATCGACTGAAAACACGGGTCAGGGAGTCAAGAGACAGGGCCGCGCCGCCAGACCGATGCTCATCCGACAGGGTCCTATTGAGCTCGTTGACGAGTGCAACCAGGTCTTGTATGCCGTTGTTGTACCCTAGACCCTGATTCGGGGTGAACTTGTGGCACGCATCCCCGACGAGCACCATCCGGCCCCAGCTCCAGTGCTCCACGATGCCTTCTTCGAGGTTGCTCATTCCTGCCGTGTGGCACTTGGGGAACACGTCCTTGACCTTGAGATGCTCGCAGACTGCGAGCTCGCCATGCCGGGTTGCGAACTCCTCAACGTCTTGCTGCGAGTAAGAGACACAATCTCTTGTCGGCGCGGCCAGCTTCTCGTAGATGAATAGCCAAGACCTCTTCTGGCTGTTGATGCATTGGAGTGAGACATCTCTGCCATGGATCTCGACGGTATCGCCTGGTTCGTTGCATGGCTGCCGGGGAAAGGTACACCAGAGGACCTTGTACTCGGACAGGTATGGCTTCTCCACGTTGAACTTCCGTTCAGAACATTCGATGGCGAGATTACGCATGCTCTGGCGGACCTTGCTGTGGACGCCATCCGCCCCGATAACCACGGATCCACAAAACGTAGTCCCATCTCCACAGAAAACTTCAATATTGTCTTTATTAATCGTGACTCCGATCACCTTTTTGCCCGTATGGATCCGCGCTTTATCTGCCGCACTGAGGCTCTCGTGTAATAGAGTGACGATATCGGCCCGATGGAAGATGGTGGCTCGAGCGCCGTGACTGCAGAGAAAGAGATCAGATTAAGAGGAGAAACAGGTGTTGGACTAAATGACACACTCACTTCTTCTTCATTGTTGCAGTAGCCCATGTTTCCTTGTATTTGTACCCCGCGAGCGTAACAGTTGTGGTGCGGCCCATCTCCTCTCCGAGCTCCTGCAGACGCTCCAGGAGGCCTAGCTGCGACAACACACGAAGACCTTGGGGCCACAGAGCTAGGCTTGCACCGACGTCGTTTTTGATCGAAGATCGTTGTTCAAGAATGACGTAGTCTATACCAGCCTGAGAAAGGATGTGGGCTGCTGTGAGGCCAACCGGTCCTCCGCCCACGACGATAACTTTGAATGGGGATTTATGCACCATGTCGGATTTGGGGTGGTTCCAATTATCTGTTGTCTGGGCTCCGATAATGATGCGCAATATATAATCTAGAAGTATTTGTGTACGGACCGACAACCATAAATCTTTGGTCTAGGAATGGAAAAAAAGACGGGCAGTTCGTCAACAGGAAACCATTGATGGAGAACGGGCTGAATGAACAAAAAGAGTTCCACTGCCCATAAAAAGCTAGGAACTTGTAGTTCGGAGCATTATAAGTTGTAAAACGAACGGATCTCTAAGTTATTATGCATTGGTATTTTATGAACCGTACTGCGTCGGGGGCGTGTGCGGACTTCTGGCAGCGGACTTTGGGGCGGCGGAGGCGGGCTTCGGAGCTTGAAGTTGACTAGCTCTTCGTTGGATCCAAAGCCTGCAATCCAAACAGCCCCCATTCATTTGTGAGCTACTTTCCTGGAACTCAAAGCCTCCTACTCCTTTGGACTAAATAACCACAGTTGGAGCCAATTTTGGTGTTCTCTGTCCAAGCTTCCCCAATGTCTACCTTCCAAAGCGCGGCGCGGCCTGCCCCAATGGCCTGAATGACAGCCTGTTCCAATTTTCCCACGGGACAAATCTTGATTCATTTCACCGATATGACTGTTTGACTGTAGCGGTCGACAAGCATTTTTTGGACGGAATGCCGGCTCCGCCTCCAACGCTCCGCTTCTGGTGAACATCGACAGTGCCCTTGGCCACGATCCGATGGCCTCAAAAAGTATGATAAGCAGTGCTTGCAACCTGTGGATAAGCTTGTTCTTGAGGACCTCCCAGCTGTTACAGTTACCAGGAAAAAGTCTCCCCCACACACCCCTTTTTACACCAAAACTCACCACTTTAAATAATTCTTTTTTAAATCTATATATATTCTATATTTTTCTAAGTATTTTCTATACATTATTTATTAATAAATATAAAATATACTTTAAATTAAAAATATAAAAAATAAATTTTATTATTTTATTTAAATTAAAAGTATAAAGGAATATTATAAGTATAAAATATAACTTATTAGAGGGCCTTATAGAAGGTTTTAGGGCTTAAGTTTAAAATTTTAAAATTTTATTTTTAAAAAACTTTAAATATCTTTTTAAATATAAAAAGAGGATTTTTTAAAAAATATATATATTATATATAAAGTATTTATATATAGTATATTAAAAATTTATAAATTTAGTAAATTTATAGAGGTATTAATGTAGGTTAAAAATAGTGAGTTTTAGTGTAAAAAGGGGTGTGTAGGGCAGACTTTTTTCTAGTAACTGTATAGAGGATATTCTAAGCCTCGACCCAAATATCGCACGGGTGAAACACGACTGGCTGACGCGCCTACCTATTATATTAATGCCTAAGTAGGTGCGAGGGTATAGCTTTCAGCCAGACTCTCTACTGCTGGCCTGACGAGACTGCTCCAAGAGGACTATGTAAGCCTCGTGTATTGATGAAGAAGCGATGCCCTAAGGCCATTATCAATGAGCTCACCCTCCCAGAAAAGAGGTGTCCCTTCTACCCAGTAAGTAGTTATGGATTGGGTAATGTTGGGTCTGTGTGCGGGCTTAAATTTCACAAAATAGGGTCGCCTCCTGCAAACGGATAGAGTGTCATTGGAACCAGTCTATCAGAGAATCTGTGAGAGCCAAGATATTTTTGGCCCCAAGTAATTTAACCAAGAGCCATGCCCTCTGAAATGAATACTGAACATTTCCATCAAGCTTACTGTATTCCAAACCATGCCAAGTCCACGGTCTCATGCACAGGCACGGTGTGCCCCACGCCCTTTGCACTATAAGCCACCAGCTTAGTACCATCACCAAAAACCATCTGCGTGTAAGACGCTTGCGGCGTGTTAGTGTTGTTTTTCAAAAACGTGACACCATGTATGCCAGACCACTCCTTGATCTGCTCGGCCAGGTTGGGGTAGAACACGAGGTTGTCAGCGGTGCCGTGCCAGGTCTGCATCTTTGGGTACGAGCCGGTCCAGGACGGGTACATGGCTTTCACCTGCGCCACCCACTCGGCCTGCGTCTTCCTCACGTTGCCGTTGGCGCAGGTAGGGTCCGCGCTGATGGGCGACGCGCCGGGGGACCCGGCCAGACAGCCGGCGGCGACCCCCGAGTAGACGGAACCGGCGGCGAACAGGTCCGGGTACGTGGCTGCGAGGACGTTGGTCATCATGCCGCCGGACGAGGTGCCGGTGACAAAGAGCTTGGTCGTGTCGGCGCCGTACTTTTGGATCGTGTACTTGACCATGTTGGCAAGGCCTTGGGTGTCGCCGCCGCCCTCATGGGTGAGCGACTTGGCTGATGCGACGTCCCAGCAGTTGGAGTCCTTGGTGGTGCTTGGGAAGATGGTGATGAAGCCGTACTGCTCAGACAAGGTATTGTATTTGGTCTGCTGTGCGTATGCGGGACCATTGCCTCCGCATCCATGAAGCTATCTTGGTCAGCTGTGATGCTGCATATCGACAGATACTAGAGCCTACCGCTAGGATAACAGCTGGCTTTGTCGCAAGCTTGGCTGGGACATTGATGTACATCTGGAGCCCGGTTGGATTTCCGCCGAAGTCTGTGACTTGGACCAGAGCACTCATGACAGCGGAGCAAAGCAACGTCAGCGCAACGAGCCCGATGCTGATTGGACGAGTTGTCGCCATCTTGTTAAAGGGATCCCAGACAGTGTAAATGTGTATTGAGATCCTGATCCTGGGTCAAATGGAAGTGAGAATGACTGGTTGGGCACCTGGATTTAGGTTACCTTTATACTTGCGCCTTCCACTAGGAAGCCATCACATTTGCTTCGTGCAATAATATAATTCAATATAATCCGTCAGAGCGTGTCAGAGTAAACACGTTCCCGGGGCTACTGTGTATGTAACGTGGGGTGTTGCATTTAACCACAGCCTAAGACCGAAAGGTAACAACGGGACAAGGCCGACTAGATGCCATTGGGAAAGACTGAACTTCGGTATCAGGACACGGCAATGCAGGCGACGATCCAGGGGTGTTGAACCGTGTTTTTGACTACCGGTCGAGAAAGCCGAATGCTATTCTTGTGGTGACAGAGTTGCAAAGAAGCGTTGAACGCGCCTCGCTGATCATATTCTCTCGTCAGTCGGTGCTTCTTTTATTCAATACTCATAATAAACAACATCTGTTGGTTTTGATTTCACTCGGTGAAGAAGACAATGAAATTATCTCTGTCTGACCCCCCCTTCGCCGCTCGAGCAGATCAATCCAGCTTCGAGTCCTGTCGCTGCCACGGTATCGGCCTACCTACCGGGGGGGGGGGGTCCCTAACATAGGCATATAATTGTGTTAAAAATTAAGTCAGCGCACCGGTCTACACACAACCCCACCAACGCACACACATTTCCCACTAAAAACATTGACTTTTATACTAATCTATTAATTCTATATAAGTCTTAAAAATATAAATTAAATACACTTAAAAGGTGTTATAGTGTAATATATTAAAAATAAATTTTTATAATATTTAAAAAGCTTTAAGATTCTTAAAATAATAAAAATAGAAAGAATTTAAAAAAAATACTCTTTTTACACTTTATTTCTAAATCTTTAAAAACTTAAATAAAATAAGTTAGATTTAATATATAATAAAATAATATATATAAATAATTCTATTAAAATATATTAATAGAAATTTTAAGAGTATTAATTAATAGAAAAGTATTAAAAATAAATATAAAAACATAAAATAAGTAAAGAAATTTACCTTACTTTTTTATTTAATTTATTTTAAACTTTTAATTATTTATTTTAAATAATATCTATAAATAAAAACTTTAAAAATATAAGTAAATATAATAATAATATATTTTCTTATTAAAAATATAATTTATTATTTAACTATATTAATTAAAAGTAATAATCTTATATTTTAATTAAATAACTAATAATTTATATAAAGATTAATTAATAAAATTAAAAGTAAACTTTAAAAATTAATCTTTAATAATTCTTTTATATATTATTTAATTAATCTCTTTCTATTATAGATAAAGAATTTATTATATAATTATATAAACTTCATTATTATAATATTAATATAAAATTAAATAAATTAATATAAAAATCGATATTTTTAATAGAAATATATATCCTTTAATAAAGTTATATATAAATCGGTACACTAACTTAATATTTAAATAAACTTTAAATATTATATTTTATTAATTAATAAAAGTTAATTAAATATTATTATAAATAAAGTTTATAAAAATTAATTATATATTAAATTTTAATTTTATAGTAATATATATTAAATATTTTTAATTTATTAATATGAAACTTTATAAGTTAATAAAATATAAGCTTAATATAATTTTTAATTTAATAGCTTTATCGAGTTAATATATAATATTAATTAAATAAAGAAATAACTAATAAATAATTAAGTTAAAGAAAAGAAAAGAAAAAGAAATTAATTTTAATAAAAGTTAAACTTTTTATTTATATATTAAGATTTTAATAATATATTTAAAGTATATTAATAAATAACTCTTTTAATATAAAGTAAAACGATTTATTATTATAAGTTTTTAATTAATTTTTATTTAACTATTTTATTAACTTTTAACTTAATTTAACTTTATTTAAACTTTTTCTTAAATTTATTTAATATTCTTTTTTAATAAAGTTAAAACTTTAAATATTCTAAGTTTAAGTTTAAGATTTTTATAGATTTAAATTTATATTAAATTAAATTTATAATCTTTTAACTTTTTTAAAAAATATATTAACTATTATTAATAATAATAATCTTTCTTTAAATTAAAAATCTATCTTTATATGGACTATTTGTATTTTTTTTAGTTCCACTACTAAGCTGGAAGCAAACAGTTAGGGTCCCAGAGGGACGAGACACAATGTATCTTTCAAAGATCAGCTCATCTATCTTTATATAATTATAAATTTAACTATTAATAATTATTTCTTCTTTTATAAAGTTATTAAAATTATAATCTTAAATAATAGAATATAGTTACTTTATTTAAAAGTTATCTTTTAGTTTATATAATAAGATTAGTAACTATTTTTAAATAATTTTACTTAATAAATATTTATTTATAAAGTAAAGTTAAAACCTTAAAAATAATAATAACTTTATCTTTACTTACTTTAACTAACTTACTTAAATTATATAGTAAATTTAATACTAATATATAGTACTTATTAGTATTAAATTAACTTATAATTTATAATAACTTTAACTTTTAATAGATTAATAGTATTAATTTAAACTAATTAAATATATTTTAATATATTAATATAGAAAGGTATTTTTAAATAATAAATACTATTATAAATATAAATTATAAAGTTATTATAAAATATTCTATATAATAAATTTAAATAACTTAATTTTTAAAAAATATATTATATTTTATTTTTTAATACTTTAATTATTTACTTTTAATTTAATATTAAAATTAAAAAAAATATAAATAGTTTACATTAATATTATATTTATATTTTAAGAGAATATTAATATTATTCTAAAATAATTATACTATAAATTTAATTTGCCCCCCTCCCCCCAGTAGGTAGTTACCTAGGTAATGTGTGGTACGAGGCTCAGCCACGTGCCTATGTACTGTATTCTCTTTCTACTATTATTAGCACTGTATTTCATTCAATGCTAGGTCTCGAGCGTTTACCACTATATGAAGGCGCCATGTACAATTTATGTGGTTTCGCGTCTATTCCGTATACGTCCGAGGACATACATGCCGCCTTCATACAATAGTAAGCACTCAAGACCCAGTGCTTGAAAAGAAAACGGCGTCAATAACGATAGTTATAATATGATAGGACAGTGGGTGATCCCCCCATATTTTCCCCTCTCTGTGGCCCAATAGAACGCATTGTCGATATCCCCTTGGTTGCAGTGATCTGCAGTGCGAAATAACCACTCGATAGCTGCGACTCCAGGATCTTTAGATGGCCCGCAGCCACGTGGTCCGACGACGATGTCACAGGTCCTGTCCTTCGCAAGCTCCGCCCAAAGCCGGCCGCAGACACCCTCGACTGTCTGATCCTTTGGTATCTCAAAAATCCTAATCAACGTCTCAATGTGAAACCAAAATAGAGGTAGTGCCTTGGCCCTCATGCATGCTGGAGGTGGGTATAGCTGAGGTGTCGGCTTCGGTGGCTTTATCTGTCGAGCCACAACAAGGCCCTGGTCGTTGAAGGGTACGGTCTGGTTGGCGAGGGGAATGGTCTGGTTGGCCAAGGGTGCCGTCACAAGGTTGGTGGTGGATGCTGTATCGATAGGGCTAGCGATGCCGGTACCGATGAGACCAAGCAAGAGAGCTGCAAGATTGAGGAAACGCATGGTGCTTGAGAAGGGTTGCGTTGTCTTTGCCGATGGAGGTGGAAAATACTGAACTCGAACGGTATCGATAATAGTAGTTCAGAGGCGATGTGGTTGTAGACAATCACCTAGGTATAGTTCTGTTATAGGAAAACCAATTTTGAAGGAAACACAATCTGTGTCGTCCCATCAGCTGGGGATGTGCGATCGCACCCAGATTTATAGTATTTCTATCCGTCACTACCTAGGTAGGGGGGCTACTTTGCTGACGACTCTAGTCCACGTCGCCGTCGGAAGCGGATCCCGCTAGCCTTGCCTGTGCGGCTGTCATAAATCCTTAGACCGTGGGCTGCCATTGTACGTACCTAGGTAGGTACGTTTATGCCGCGATCGCGTACATTATGGACCAAGGGAATAATACTGTAGGACATTGCCAGTGGTGTCTCGATTCAGGGTAGCCAACCATTTTGCTGCTGCAGCGGAGCCGCCACACCACCAGCTAAAATTTTCTGTGCGATCTGCCTCTTCTATATGCCAGTGGACCTCATTGTGTCTTTTCCAAATCCATGCATGTCAGGTCCATTCCAGGTCTCTCATGAACGTGCATGGCCATTATGACACAATTAACCACTGGTTCCTTCCACGCCGGCCCCGTCGAGCGCTGAACGGTGCCGCAGACAGGCCGCGCGCTTGAGCCAAAGCAAAGTTTTCTGCCCCAGCGGCTCGTGCCGTCTTTCTAAACTGAGTCTAGATAGTCAGCCATGGATCTGGCCTATCTGTCCAGTGGGGCCAATTGTTAGTGTGAGCCCTGACAGGGACGTAAAGAGTTGAAGACATCCTGAAAGGGAGCATAAGGGTAGATGTAATTTGTTGAGATTGTTGCCTTGTGCGTCGTGTTGAAAATCTCTCCATTGAGAATACAACCTAGCTATGCAGCATTGCTGACCCCAGTCTCCATCAAAGCTGGAGCCGGGACTGGGCTGAGACGTCTTTGACGGTCTTTCACCAAAGGCCACGAGAATACCCTGTCCGACCCACCTATTCCACACGGCGCCCTGGGAAACAAGCAAGAAATGGCGCCGATTCTAGGATATCCGTGCTCACGCGCTAGGCTCGTAACGTTTCTAGTTTCAGCAGCCGGTTTTGATGGACTTCTCTCACGGAGGCCCTGTGGGCAACCAGCCAGCCAGCCAGTTATCGAACTTGAAGTCAATGATCTGCGTAGCTCATCTGACGGTGTGAGATTCTAGAGGCTGTAGTTCCACGGCAGCTACGCTAGGTGTAACACCGGACCAGGACTGGAGGTACCTACAGTTTGACAAAATGATAGCATAGCTTGTCGCCGGATCATGTGAAGCTTGGGTGGTTGAGGTCATCGAGGGAGAGAAACATAAATCCAAGACCCAGGCAGAACGGCCATGTAACGTGATGTGAGAAAAGCGCTTCAAAAACTTGACAACAATTCCAACGAAAGCCTCGATTTATTGTGCCCCTTTTAGATCTTGGCGTGCTATGAGAAGATGCACTGCTCAAGCCCTGCTTCCCCGACAATGTATACTGCAACTGAAAGCCTAGTGAAAGATATCTTTAATTAATGGCACCGAGCTCCTTAATCTCTTCCAAATCTTGCAGCCGCTTCTCCAGCTTCTGCTTGATAAGCACGAGGGAAGTCGCGCCGAGCGGCAAGTGAAGAGGAACGTTCTGCCCGCAGCTGGCAATGTCGAACAGGGCCTTGGCGAGGGCAACCGGCTCCATGCCGGCGCCGGACTTGAGCCCCTTCTTCACAAAACCCTCGAGCCTCCGGGCGGGCATGTCCTCGGCCGCATAGGCCTCATGGGGTTCCGTCCACTTCTTGCTGCCTCTCTCAAAGTTGGTCTTGACGCCGCTGGGTTCGGCGATGCAGAAATGTACTAGTGTCATATAAGATTTCAGCGCGACATGCACAAGAGACACACCTTCACAGCAAGGCAAAGAGAGAAGAAACAGAGGCGGTTGGTCGGTGGAGGAGGCTCACTGTTCCAGTCGGGGTGCATCTCGCGCGCAACAGACTCTGTCCAACCCTCGACGGCGAACTTGCCTGCATGGTAGTACGCGTGACCTGGGAAGGCACACACACCAGCCAGGGAGGAGATCTGGATGATGAGCCCACCACGGTGGTTCTTCTCCTGGCGCATGACTTTCACAGCCTGCATCGTGACGCGAGCCGTGCCGAAGAAGAGAGTCTCGATTTCCTGGTGCGTCTGCTCCTCCATCGCAGCCTCGGTGTCGCCAGAGAGGGAGTAGCCGGCGTTGTTGACGACGACGTCGAGGTGGAACTCGTCGCCGAAGTGGGCTGCCGCGTCGCTGAGGGCTTGCTCGATGGATGCGGGCGATGTTACGTCCAGGGCAAGCTTGAGGATGCCATCCTGGCCGTCGGGCAGGTAGGAGAGGGCAGATGGGTCCCGAGCCGTGGCGATGAGGCGCTGGCCTGGCTGCTTGGAGACAAGGGTGGCTATCTCACGGCCTATGCCGCTTGAGCAGCCTGTGACTATATAAGAGAACAGTTTCAGTTTTTTTTTCTCTTTCGCCTTGACAGTCATGACAGTGAGGCTGCAATCAACGGTGTTATCGCGGATGGGTAGGTGCTTACTCAACCAGACCGCGTCACCTGGGAGGTGATAAGGCTTGGTGTTGACGGGATTCATTGTGCGGATCTCTGTTTCCAATTGATGCTTTTCAAGAACTTGAAGTTGTATTGGGTGATTCGTCGAAAGAATTCTAATGGGACGGTGTCCATGGGAGGCTACTTATATTCACAAATCTCTTGATGCTCATATCGCCAGCCCAGCCGTTGCACTACAGAACAATTCTGTCTTTTGTCAGACAAGAGATCAGTCCTTGCATTCCCTGATATCATTTCAATTGTCTCAGGTCTTTTGCATAATGCTACGCATTTCAGACATCCCTTTCAGGAGACGTACACGGAGGTGGCGCGGCAAGAATCCTTCTCAGCGGAGGTTTAGTTATTAGCTTTCGGCGAGCCGAATACAGATTCGGCGTCGCTTACGGACGCGGCAGCTGGCCCAGACTCAGCAGGCGAGAAGCCCATGCCGGTGACACATGGGGGTCGCTGCCACACCGTGATCTGACGCAGTGACAATCATGCCGGCATCAGATCAGGCATGAATGAGTAATGGCCGCTGCCAATCTCGGCAAGCGACTTGGGCAAGCCCGACCTGATATGGCACGCAAAACCATGTGGATTGACGGAGTTAGCTTTCCCACGGACCTCGTCGCCGGAATATAGCCATCGCTGAGCCAGTGCTAGCCGGAGTCGAGACTGCGGAGTTTGCGGACTTGGCGTCGGCTCGGGCGTCATCGCCTGCGGAATTGCGGAGCCACTAACACGTGCTGCTGACGGGAAGGAAGCCCTCGGACATCCATTCAATTCTCACAGCGCTTCCGATGCCTTATGTATACAATGAGAGCCTCGGAATCCAGAAGATCAGTGCTAAATCTGACTAGCAAGACGAAATGATAAGCCCTGTACAGGCTGCCGGGGTGCTGGGGTCGAGGCAGAAGAACTGCAACAGCTGCGTGCAGATGAAAAGACGCTGCGACAGGCGGACGCCCGTCTGTACAAGGTGCGCCGAGAGGAAAGTCCCGTGCGTGTACGGCAATGCCAAAGCCTCTCATCGTACCGGCAATCAAGGGAGGCAGAGTCACAGTCATATCGAAGCGTTACATTTCGATAGCCCTGATGTCTCTCTTTTCGACATCGACACGCCGTTCGAGATAGGCTGTCTCGACAGCTTGACCGTGCCAACTCGTCCAGACTCACCTGGTCATGCGTCTCAGACCATACCAAATGCTTTTGTCGGAGAAGATGCTTCCATAGATGCTTTCATGGATTTTGTTGTCGATGAAAACCCTCACCCCCCACAGCGATGGCTTGTCCCGGCCAACGAGAACCTCACTATCGAGCGTCCTGGTACACCAGCAGATGAGGAGATCATGACTTCATACCAGAAAATGGCGTCTTTTTGCGTGAGTCTGATTTTTCTATAATTTTCCTGTTATGGCTTGCGTTCTCTCCTCTCCTGGAAATGCTAACAGCTTCCAGGATGATGTCAAGCCGTGGCATCTGTACGATCCAAAATCGCCTCTCCACAGCACCGTCAACCGGGTGAAAGCATTCACGAAGGATATGGCGACGCAGAATTGCGCTCCCTTCTTGCACCGCTACTTATATCGAATTCAAACACCGCAAGCTATCCTCACATGCTTCACGACTTGTGTGCTCTACGACAACCGCACCCCAGCGAACACTGCAATGGTGATGCGAGCACTATACGGGAACGTCCGGGAGCTTCTTGACAGTGAAATTGGCCGCACCACAGTGACGCCTACCGAGAGGCTCGCACGTACCCAGGCGCTATTCATATACCAAGTCATACGCCTATTTGATGAGAATATCACGTTGCGATCGCAGGCAGAGAAAGACATGCCTGTCTTGCAAGGCTGGCTCGCCGAGCTATGCAAGATACGTGACAACTTGGGCAACTTGGAAACCGATACGGCCCGACACCAGAATTCAGTAGAGTGGGAGGTGTGTAAATCTCCTGTCACTTGCTGGGGGTGAGGATTGCTAACCAGTGCGGGTGGCTCCAGAGATGGATCTTCGCCGAATCCGTTCGCAGGACTATTGTTATGGCATACTCGGTGATTGTTCTGTATGAAATGATGAAAGATTCAGAAAATGATGATGGTAAGGCGTCTATTATCTGCCGAAACATGGGAGATATCACTGAAACACAGATTTAGATGACACGGGTGCTTGGGCCTATACCCATCGCTGGACCCTGTCTAGACCACTCTGGGAAGCCAGCTCATCCTTCGAGTTTAGCCGTTTATGGAAGGAAACTCCCCATTTCATCATTTCCAACTACTCTTTCGACAGCTTTCTCAAGCATGGAAGGGGCGAGGATGTAGACGACTTTGCAGAGATCCTCATGACTGTGTCAGTGGACAAGAGTGTGGGCCCCCCAGCTTCGAACAATGCTAACATATTATTTCAGGTACATGGGAGTTGATGAGACCAAAGAGTTTATTTCGACGCGCTCAACTCAAAAATTGGGGAAATGCTGATGTTAATCCATTATCCACAAGTCGGATGGCATGCCAGTGTTGCGGATCTTACACGCATCATGTCTGAGTACTCAATGTCTAAGTGGACTTTGGTCCGCTCCGCTACTACTGCGGACTTTGATCATCGGAACTCGAACAAAAGCTCACACATCTATAAGTAACCATGCAGCTTCGACCTATTCATTCACTTCCCACTGCCCATCAACCTCCAGTCTTTTACACAAATCAGCCTTTGACACGCATCTCACACCCACCCTGCCAATCAACATGACCACCAAATCACCTACCACACGGCCCCTGGGGAAGGACGGCCCAATGGTATCGCGCATCGGCTTCGGAACAATGGGAATGGGTTATCCCTGCTCACGTACAACTGATCCTATCCCTGACCCTGAACGTCTGGCCCTGCTCGACCACGCCTACGAGTTGGGATGCACCTTTTGGGACTCGAGTGACTTCTACGTACGTGTCCGATGCATACATGCAAACCTTCCACTCGAACAGAGTAACTCTGATGGACTTGCAGGGTGACTCCGAGGTCATCATCGGCAAGTGGCTGGCACTGAACCCAGAGAAGCGCAAGGACGTCTTTATCGCCACCAAATTTGGCGGCGTTCGACTACCGGACGGATTTGGATTCCGTGGCGACGCTGAGTATGTGCCTATTGCCTGTGAGCAGAGCTTGAAAAGGCTCGGGGTCGAGACTATCGACCTCTGGTATCCTCACCGTCTTGATGGATCAACCCCGGTCGAGCACATCATTGCTGAGATGGTCAAATTGAAGAAGTAAGTCTGAGTCCTTCTTGATTCAAGCAAAATCCAAAGGGGTTCCACGCTGAGGAATGTTGCTCGCATCGAGGCTAACAAGTTACAAAGCCAAGGCAAGATCCGCCACATCGGCCTCTCAGAGGTGTCATCCGCAACCCTTCGGCGTGCCCATGCCGTCCACCCTATCTCATGCATGCAGATGGAGTACAGTGCCTTCAGCACCGAGATCGAGTCCCCGGAGCACCAACTCCTCGCGACGTGCAGGGAGCTCGGCGTGGCTGTCGTCGCGTACTCCCCGTTGTCCCGCGGCCTGCTTGGTGGTGGCCTCCAGGGCCCCGATGACTTTGAGGATGGCGACATCCGCCGCTTCTACCCCCGATACTCCAGTGAGAACTTCCCCAAGAATATGGAGCTTGTCAAGGGCTTCAAGGACGTTGCTACCGCGAAGGGCGTGACTGTTGGCCAGGCTGCCCTTGCGTGGCTTCTGGCTCAGGGGGGTGATATTTTCCCCATCCCAGGGTACGTTTGATACCTATAGCCAAGCTCCCCTAGTCACCACTCCACATTTTTGACAATTCTCTCAGCACGATCACACCAAAATACCTAAAAGAGAACTTCGAAGCGGTGTACGTGCATCTTACACCTGATGAGTCGCAGCGCCTCCGCGACCTGGTGGACAAGGCGTCCGTGTTTGGCGAAAGGTACCCGGCGGAGCATGGCGGTGGTCTGTTCGCCGACACACCACTTCCCGAGGAATGGGATGGGCAGAAAAGGGATGTGACTGTCATTGGCCAAGTTATTCCTCCCAAGCAATGACCAATTCGTTGTTTGGGGACTTGAGAGCTGCTCTTGGCTCGCCACTGGCAGATCACAAGTGTCTTTGTTTGCAATTTGCCATCAGAATCTACTAACCCTTATTTCTAAACAACATCCATGTGTTCAAATGTTATTTTCATTAGAGCACATGACTGCCTAAAAGATAAAGCACTGCCTATCAAATTGAGAACCTATGATGTTGTGCCCTCTTTATCGATAGCTGTCATATGCTCCACTGAAAGAAGAAGCGTGACTCTGTTTGTGTAAGTCCGTATTGAGCAGTCCATATAGCTTGTCGACTGTGTGATTGAGGTGAGTATATTTGTGGCTCTATTACATTTCTTAGACAAGTTTGGACCATGCTTGGTGAAGTCCTTTGCGAAAAATGCTCCCTAACCCTAGGCAAGTCCTTCTACCCCCTTCTGCCCTTCTCCCTCACCCCGTCGGAAAGACAGGAAGAGAGATAGAATGAAAAATAGACGGAAAGAGGGAAGGAGACGGAGACGGAAAATGAGGTCAAGTAGGAGGCAGAGAGGGTAGGAGGGAGTGAGGGTAGATGGGCTGGCTTGGTGTCACGGTTAGAGGGCCTTACCTAAGTAGGTACCTAGGTAGAGAATTGTGATACTCCAAGAGATTACTGCGTAATTACATAGACTACCTAGGTATGTCCGGCCGTCTGTCCCTCCTACATTTCCGCACACCGCACCACACGCAGGACGCAACCGAGAGAACAAAGATTATCGGCACTCCAACCACCAGGAACCAGTACAAATCCTTGCCAAACCACTCTTCGGAACTTTGGCTGTCATTGTGGTAGCGGTCATATTCGCCGTCCCTTATCTTCTGCCCCGGTGTCCACGTTGGCACACGCATTTCGTTCGTTAGAGTAGGTAGCTTCGGTGTCATTGTCGCCGTGTCAGATTTTGCCCAGGTTATCGCCCACCCTTCGTGCACCATGAAGGTAGTTCCCACCCTAGTACTTGATGCGTCCTCCCCCTCTTCACCGGTGTCTTCGGTGTCCCTCCGGTCCCCGTATTTTCCGCATGGATTGGATAAGAACGTAGGGACTACAGGTCCGTAGAATGCATAATCGAAGCCGCTGAAGTACAAAAGGGGTAGTCAGTAAATGGATCGTCTGAGAATCGAGCTCATGGAGACTCATCGCCTCAAAAAGGGCGGAGGAATAGGGAGGGGAGAAAAGTCGTCGGCGGACCTTTGGCAGCAAAAGGCCGTCGACACCGCCAGAGAGGTATCCTCCTGCATAGCGTGGTAGACCCATCCTTTGGGACACACCCCGGGGCTGAAATGGAGGCGGCTTTCCGGCGTGATGTCGTCCCATCCCGAGGGATAGCAGGTCGCGGCAGGTTCAGATATCATTATGGTGCTCATTACCGTGCTGCCGCCTCCCAAGGAAGGCACAGCCGTGGTCTTCCATTGTGTCTTGCAGTCGGAAGGTTGTATGAATGACGTTCTAATGGCAAGAGGTCCAGTAGATGTGGGAGTTGTCCCCGTGGAGGTGGGGAATGGCGCATCGAACTCTGGGTCATCAGACACCGGGGGGTTGTGAGGCATGCTAGTGGTTCTCTTTGTCAAAGAGGCGCATTTGGGTCAGTTGCCGATACAAGGTGTGATGAATAACCCCTTGGCTGGGCATGCGCTCCTTATGAATTCGAACGTCATTTCTTACGCGTCTGGCTGCACCGACGCGCGGGCGGGGGCCTGTGGATAATAATGACTGCCTTGCGAAGACCAACAAATCGGCCCCTGAACGTGGCGTCGCGTGCCGGTGCAGGAAACCTTCAATGTTGGAAGTCTCGGCTTTCTCAAGAAGGTCAATCGTAGAAAGAAAAGTAGGACCGTACGAAGGAAGCTTGGCGTCTTCTGCGCGTCCTGCTTCGCCGGGTAATGTAAAAACAAATCAAATTAGAACCAACAGAAAATACGACCTGTCAGGGGTCTTGCCCTGGATCCATCCACCTAGGTACTTACTAAGTAGGCACCTTATCCTGGCTTACCATCGCACACGGTCTCTCCACGACAGCTACGCCACTAAATATCAGTCGACCGTCAATACCCGAGCTTTATTCTGCGCACTAGCGGCTGGACAGGCTGTGCTATCCACTCCGTCCCTGCATTGTGACGGTAATCTAATCATTGTGTATTGAATCCAGCGCAGCGAACAACAGCTATCTCACCATTTCGCAGACATAAGAGGGTCCCGTTGGGACATGCCTGCATTAAGCACACGCATTCTGGGCTGACCCAGTCCCCAGGGAGGCCGTAATGCGCAACAACGGCCTCGTCAGCAAAGTCCGTAGCGCGGTGAGACTGCGGGTGAAGAGTCGAGGCCTGAGAGTCGCGCCGATAAATTGAACCTGAGGCGGAATGTTTGAGCGCATTTATCGACAGCCCATTGGCTTGCGAAATGCCTGCTGGTATACTCCAGGTGCAAATCGAGTGATGACAGTCCAGAAAGACCAGGGTATCTTGCATGGCTTGCATTTCACCGAGAAAAACTAGCGGGCGGTCCACTCGACTGCTAAGTGCGATTGGGAGCTCTAGTAGGGCAGCTGTATCTGAGACACTGAAGCTGTCTTGAGAGGTGTTTTGTTCTTCCCCAGTTTTTTTGAAGTGCTTGCCGTCTAGGAGATACATGATGTTGCGCTGTTGTCCCTGAACGACAGTTGACGCCTCGACTAACAGGTAATGCGTCGACGGAGCCATGACCAGGCGCTCGATTGTAGCTTGTATATTAGAATCGCTTGACACTGAAGTAGCAGATTCTTCTTCATGTACATGCTGCTTTGCATTGTCGCGCGCAATGTACAAGTCTTCATTGTGCACTTCAGGGCCGCAGGTGTAGTAATTGTCTTGGGTAGCGGCAGAAATTGAGAATGATCCAGTCTTCGACAGCATGGCCCAGTCATGGATCGTGACTATCCAGGGACAGATGAAGACAACAGAGTCTGGCTGAGTCGGATGCGCTGTCCACATGCCGTTGTCACTGTCCAGGCATAGCTCCGAGACCGTCTTCTGCTCTGCCAGCGAAATGACAACCGCACGGGTCCGACTAGATACCAGTATCATGGCTGCGTCGTGGTTGAAGATAATTTGCGTCATGTTGTCGCTCAGGCTCAAGGACCGCCTAAACATCATCTCGATGTTCATGCCATCAATGTCACTCTGGTCCCCAGTGAGGGCGAGGATGGTGATCATGCGACCAAGGTCACCAAAGCAGATAAATCTTCCGTCATCACTCCAGGCTATCTGCTCAATTCCAAACGTGGTTAAACTCTCCAGAGTTCGATGTTTCAATTGCTTGGTATCGTAAATAGTGAGGGAGCCTCTGGCACTGCCTGAGCATATCAAAGAGCCACGTTTTTGAGGCGCGACCGCGGATATGGGGTCCAGAAACTCGTACCGCGTCTCCTCTGACGAAGCCGTCCGGGCCGAGTTGCCTGAAACACTCACACCGTCGCTCAGTGGGGTCGATGGTTCCGAAAATCTTAGAAGAGAGTTAGGTTGCCATACATTCCCGTATTTCGCGCGCACGTCGTAGAGTTGCTTGTTGTCGCCACTAAATGCCAGATCGAGCACGGGGTGCTCAGAAACCCCTTGATGAATGACCGTCATGTCAGAGGTGCTGAGGATTTTGAAAGTGCCCTTGTGGCTACCAACGGCCAATAGTGCACCATCGGAGCTGATTGCCATAATTGATACCTCAGACCGCTGTCTTGCGAGACCGCTTCTATCCGGATCCCATTTGAAGATGTATCCAGTGGCCTGTCGTCCGAAAATCTCTCCGCTGAATGGGTGCCACAATATCTCGGCGACGTCCTCAAGCTCATCCTGGCGGGCGACTTCTTCCGCCAGATCTGTCTCCCAGATCGCCAGTGGACTGGATCGATACCCGAGGCATACTTGCTGGCCGTCTGGGCTCATCGCCATGCACGTCGGTGAGTTTACTGACCGCCCTCCTGCATTTTTCTGCATGACCCGCGTCACTTCCGCGACCTTGGATTCACGTGACGACAGCGACATCATCCAGACACGACGGTCGTCAGTACCAATCAGGACGCTTCCATCATCCTTGGAAAATACCATAGTCATAGGGCGCGGCCGCAAGCGCGGACTCGCAGCAGATGTAACACAGGCACCGGTTGCGATGTTCCAGACCTTGGTAGTGCGAAGGCCACAGGTGGCAAGTAGTGTACCCAGTGAATTGACTTGCATCTTTCGGACTCGCTCACCAATTTCTAAGCGGCGGGCTTGCTGGAAGGTGGAAGCATGGTAAATCACCACTCTGCTGACTCTGCCTTCAAGGTCGACAGAGACTGCTATCCATTGGCCTTCCGTAACCAGTGCTGTTGCAGTCTCCTCTCGTCTGAGGGACAGCTGGCCCAAAGAGTCACCCCAAGTGGCATTGGAAAAGTAGCCGATGGACAAGAAACCCTTTTGCCTGTGCCCGAATTGTTTGAAAATGGCAGATTCTGGCGGGCAGAATGGGGGAATAGTCTTGTAGATGCTCTCGGGCATGTGAATCAGCTGACTGCCAAACCTACCAACAATCATTCCCAAGTCGACCGCCCACGAATCAATGAACTCCTTCTCATCTGTTCGACGATCCAGAGGCATTCTTTCAACGTCAGATCTAGAGAGTCTTTTCGCCAGTAACGCTAGATTGGACGAAGCGTGAACCAAGATATGCAGTTGTTTGACTTTGGAGACGGCGTGGATCCAGGTCAAAGTAGAAGTACTGCGAAGAAATTGTACGACAGATTCTAACAACCTTTTTGATATCTCAGTGTTGGTAGCTGTCAGATGAGTTGACCAGTACTTGGCTGCATACGCCAACAGGGAAGGCTCAGAATCTTTGGCTATATCTCTCCGCAGGCCAGTCTTCTTGAGGCACTGCAAACATTGTAAACCAATGCGTTCATGCGCTGCGGCTCTGTCGATGGAAAATGGCCGACCGCTTGAATTAAGTAGGTACTTCTTGGCTGTCTGGTGGATTAGGGTAACATTCCCAAAGTTATCAACCGAGACGAAACCAGCGCAAGGGTCAGTAAGAGATCTGGCTTGGTACTGTGACCCCAACGCCTCACTCAACTCCGTGACGCTCAGGGTGCGGACAGCACAAGTGACCCACTCCAAAATATGGCATGCCAGGGACCTGTCTGTTGGTTCTTGATCCAAGATGGAGTCGCCCATTCGGTCGTAGAGCTCTTCCATGCGGGTTGGCAGCTCGCGCATGGCTTGTTCAGCTGATTCGGTAGTCCTGCATTTGTTGATTCGCTCTACTGTCAGGCGCAGCCATAAGAAGCTTCCATGGGACTGGTCGAGCAGCTGCCTTGTGATGCTTTCCTTGAACTCGGGTATCTCAGACCATTCTAATTCGTTCTCAACAAATATCCTGTGATCATCCTTTTGGCCATCGATCGAGACAGCATCCCATTTGGCGTCCTCTGGAATCTTCTTGAACTCGGCGTCAATATCTGGAGTCCGACGGCTGAGTATCAAGACTCTGAGAGGGACCGATGTGCCTAACACATCGATCAACATCTTGACGCCAGCACGTGGATTGTCGGATTCCTCTAAGCCGTCAATGATCCAATACAACGGATTTTGAAATTTTGACTTGAACAAGGTATTTTTGAAGACTCGCTGCCAGATGGCTGAGGCCTCAGCACCACGTTTCAAGAATGAAGCTCCCTTGCTGATCTCTTGACGAAAGACTGGCGATACCAGAGCCACTTGAAAGGCAAGCGTACGCAACATCATACTGAGTGAGCTCTTGACCTGGTCGCCAAATCGAACAAAAGCAAACTGACAACGCCTGTCATCTTCCACGAGATGGTTGACCAGAAAGGATGTCATGACTGATTTGCCGCAACCAGCAGCACCATGCAACCAAAGGATCCTGGCATCTGGATCTGGGTCATCTAGCCAACGGATAAAGCTTGAATTGGACAATATCCATTCGCATGTTCCTGGAGTCCAACGGTCACGGCATGCTATGAAATCGGTGTCTGTGGCATCGGTTATGGAGAACAGAGTTTCCAGCTCACGTATATCCGCTGGAGATGCCGATGTTGCAGATGCTCTTGAACCCCCTTTCTGTCTGGGATCCAAGTTGCTCATCTGTTTCATTATGAAGTTGCGAACAGTCAGATAGTTGGGATCCTCGCGATCGTCATATTTACAGACTGTGTGATGGTCTGCCTCAAGTCCCTTGGAAATCTCTCCGGGGTATCCTAAGATGGAAGAATCTTTCTCCACAACCAACTACCCCCACATTAGCACGTCATTCTCGTCAATTATCAGATTGGAGAACTCACGATGCGATTCCCATCAAATCCAATTCGAGTGGGCTTGGTTTCATAGAGCGAAACAATATCCAGTCCCTTGACGACGTGTCGAAAAGTCTCATTGATCCTCTGAAGTGTTGCTGAGTTCTTCGTCAAATCATTCACATACTCTTTTGGCGCAGATATCAACGAGACACTCAAAATTCGGTTCAGGATCTCCGCAAAATTCGAACCACGATGGGGGGTGGCCAAAAACAAGATTGCCGTAACATTCCGGATGAGATCTTGATATTGAGGATCAGTGCCTCCCTGTATGTACGCCTCTTTCACAACCAAGCCACCCATGGAGTGAGCCACAAATATTATGGGAAGCTTAGTTCAAGTCACCGTCAGTAAGCTTTGAGTGCCGCAGAAACGTGTCGAAATCACTTACGTTGCCGATATTGATATTTGCTGTCGCATTGTCGACGAAAAACCTCAAATCATAAAGCAGGTTTTTTGCGAAGTCAAGAATTGACGTCGTACTTCGAGCGCTTGACTTCATCACTTCTGCGTTATAGCCATAGGTAAATATCCTGGCGTCACAAATATCCTGCTCCAGTGGCAGGAACATTTGTGGCCAAAATAGATCTGGGTCTCTATTTTTGGACCAGGTTGATTGGCTCGTGCCGCCCAGTCCATGTATGAAAACAATATCGACCCTAGGGGCCGCATTATCAGGCCGATAAATCAAGTGTAATCCCAGAGGGTCTCGAGCCGAAGAGGGGACTGGACTTCTGCTTTTGCGCCGATTCTTCGAGTCCTGACTAGATACGGAGACACTCCGTTGAACATCAAGTGCCAACGACGGGCCAGCTTGACCCGGTACCGTTAGCGATACATCCGGGGCGGGCGGTGCCTCTGCTGAAGGAATCCTGGTTTCGTTCTGATCCGCTGCCGACCTTCCTCGTAGGCCAAGCCTCTTGCGCAAGTTAAACGGTGCCTGATTCGCATTAGTTGATCGCCTGCGCTTTGGTTTATGGGATAGAGGAACTAGTTGTCAACGCACCATGGCCCGGGTACGCTGCTGGGTGTGCCCTAATGTCGCATGTTTATTGGGTGCTCCCTCCGCTCACGCTACCCACCTAGGAACCTGCGCGTCGTGCCGGGTGCCGTGTGTGATATTGTGTTTTGAGCTTAAGATGCAACTGAGTGACGATCCCGGGAAAAGTTGATTGTACAACTGGCATTGAAGCGTATACAATGAGGCAAGTGAAAGTCGCTGTGCTTCGGCTGGGCGTTCGCGGGCACGTCAAGGTTTCCTGTGCGGGATCTCGTGCTGCGCCGCAGACCTGCAGGGCCCCGCAGACAAGACGGGAGGGGTTCAGGGCGGTTGGTTGTTGGGCGCCTCGATGAACCACCTTATTGGCGAAGCAAACAGTGAGGGGCATGTTGACAGGGGTGCAAAGATAAGTTTAGAAACGCCTTATCCGCCCACTTGACTCCTGTACAGGGCATCTTTCCTTTTAAAACACGACTGCAAACTCCCTTTTCTTCACGGCAGCAAGTTGATCTGTTCATATCAACACCACTAATAAATCACTCCTCGTTCCAAGCCAAGAATTCAAAGATAATACGTCAAGACACTGTATTTTTAATCGCTGGACCTTGACTGTTTACCACAGTGTGGAGGTGCCGCATACGTTTTATATGTATTGGGCTTAGAAAGGAAACCACCCACGTCAACTCAACCTTTCTCACTCGTCATGTCAGACTTCATCGAACCGGCCGCCACGGTAGCGAAGCGTGACTCACCCGTGCACCAGTCTTTGGAAGAGATAGAGGGCGATCTCCCTATGGACGAGTCAATAATTTCACGTATTGGGCCCTCTACCGTCTCCATGGTGTCTTCGCGTTAACACTCCGGTAGTATTCCCTCCCGGTTCTGTTGTGCTCTCGGCCGAATCATACGGTTCATCCGCATGGACACAGACGGGCTGCATAACTGTCGAATTACGCGACGGGGACTTGAAAAAGTACTTCTTGAAGGTGAGCGCAGTCTGTCATCATAGTATGGCATCCACGCAAACCATCTGGCTGAGGTTTTATGATTTAGCTCGCACTAAGAGACCATGGGAAAAAAATGCTGCATGGCGAGTTCGCAGCTAATTGTGCCATCGACTCCTTGTGCCCAGGATTGGTCCCCAAACCTCTTGGTTGGGGCAAGTTCAATGTCGGTTTTCCCGAGACTCACTTCATAATAGGTGATTTCAAGGACATACAGTTGGGCCTCCCAGATCCGATCAAGCTTGCAAAGCGAGTGCTTCAGCTGCATAGTAACATTGCACCCAATGGCATGTTTGGATTTCATGTGACAACCTTTAACGGCAAGGTCAACCACGTCACAGATTGGGACCCAAGCTGGCGGAAGTTCTTCACTCGGCTGCTATCCAATACGCTCAGGGTCGATGCAGAAGCGAACGGCCACTGGCCAGAATTGGATGCTGTGGCCGATCAGTTGCTCTCTGCTGTGTGTCCGAGACTTCTCGATGTGCTACAGACTGGATCTGAGCCCATTTCTCCCAGGCTCATTCACGCCAACATTTGGGCGGGGAATACGGGCACCGATGAGGAGACTGGTGATGTCCTCCTATACGACTCAGGGTGCTACTACGCTCATAACGAAATGGAGTTGGGTATGTGGCGACGTGATGCTGCACACTATTTGGGCCAGAGATACCTTCACGAGTACCAGCAATTGTTCCCTCCCTCTTCCCCAAAGTCAGAATTCGACGACAGGAACAGGTTGTACTGTCTACATTACCTCATCAACTATTCTGCGGGCCATCCAGAAGCTATAAGCAGACACACGTAAGCCATACATCCGATGACCCTTGCCTATACGGTGGAAGACTGACCTTGTACTGTGAAAGCGCGCTCAATGATATGGCCTACCTTTGTGAGAAATACGCGCCGCTGGAGGGACTCCCGAAGTATGACTCTCAAAAAGATCCAGCGATACGCAAGGAGGTGGATATGGGCGCGGATAACAGCAGTTGTTGACTTTCTGAAATGGTACGCACAAGCGGTTAGAAAGCCGGGAAATACGTGGTATGGGGGTCTATAATAGATATTAGAATCTCTTCTGTCTGGGCTAAATTCTGACGTACAGGTTTGGAGAAGGCCGCTTACCCACCTGCCCCCATTTGCAGATGCCGGAGCACATATCAAGGCCGAGCTAATGAGATGGCATGAAGGCTTGTGTCACGGACTGTAGCGTCAGAATTAGCCAAGGTTTGGCACCTTTGCAGGATCCTGGAATCCTGGACTCGTGCACTCTCTCTTCTCCCCAAGCCCCCCGGGCCTCCGTCGTTTCGCCTCCTTACACCTGAGTCGCCTGATCGCATGACTACTAGAGAACATTAGAAGCGAGCCTGACAAGATGTTGTTTTCGCTACCGATGCTGCCTGTAGCGGGCCTTTTCATTCTCATTACGGCATTTATTCATCATAAGATGGCCGAGCAACACCATCCCCCACCCGGCACCATACCACCTCCGGAGCCAGCTGGCATTCCTATTCTGGGGAACATGCTCCAAATCCCATCTCATCATTCCTGGCTCAAATTCAAGGAATGGGCGGACCAGCATGGGCCCGTCATACGCTTCAGCATCCTGGGTAGAGAAAATGTTATTCTGTCAACCGAGCGAGCGGCCAACGAGCTGCTGCGAGAAAGAGGAACAATATACTCATCCCGAGAGCATCTAGTCATGGCCAGCGACTTCCTCTCGGACAACCTTCGGCCGTTGCTTCTGCCCTACAATGGTAAGGCATTTCCTACCCTGTGGCTGTTCCAGCCCACAGCACGTGGCACGCATAAGTTTCGGCAACGATCTAGCTGACATGAAAGTTGTCCGCAGAGCGCTGGCGGCGCGGACGGAAGCTCATGCATCGGCTGACCATGGAAAAGATGGCGAGCTCATACCAGCCTTCTCAAAGCATCGAGTCAATGCGATTGCTTTACGACCTGATAAGGGACCCAGCCCGATATGAGCTATGGTTCGAGCGGTATGCCGGCGGCCTGATCTTTCGAATTGGGTATGGTAAGACCGTCGTGACCGGCGAGGAAGCCCACGTGCGGAAGGCTCTCCACGTTGTCCACAGTGTGGAACGGATCGCGTCTCCCGGGTCTTATCTTGTCGACACCGTACCCGTTCTGCGATATCTTCCGGAATGGATGGCACCATTCAAAAAAGAGGGACGGGAGCTTCACGAGGCGGAGCTCAGGTTCTTCCGGACTCTGATCAATGATGTCCGGGCTGATAGGGAACGTAACCTGGCGGCACCATCTTTCACCAAGACTTGGCTTGAAGAGCAAGACTTGTATGGTCTGACACAGGACGAGGCCGCGTACGTGATAGGCACGCTTTTTGAAGCGGGGAGTGGCACAACAGCCTCAGCTATGATGTCGTTCATGCTGGCTATGACTCTCTACCCGGAGTGGCAAGAGGTGATAAGAACCCCATCAGACATCTCCTTCTTGGGCCTGTGAAAGGCTGACTGCTCTCAGCGCATGTGGGAGGAGGTTGACCGTGTGTGTCGTGATAAAATGCCCGATTTTGGCGACATGCCTGATCTTCCGGTATGCCGTGCTGTCATCAAAGAGGTTCTCCGTTGGAGACCAGTTACTGCCGGAGGTGAGTGCGTTATAAAATCGCTTGAACATTATGACCTTGGGAGCTGATTGGAGGGTGATCAAAGGCGTGCCCCACCAGTTAACGAAGGACGACGTCTACAACGGCTTTTTCTTCAAGAGGGGAACCAATTTTCACGCCAATCAATGGTACGTTAAATAGTGCTGGCATCTTTTGCACCTTTGTTGTTCTCCGTGTCTGGGGTGGTCTGACCTAGCCTTCTCACAGGGCCATTCATCGCGACCCAGCGCTATACCCCGACCCGGAATCTTACAATCCGGGCCGCTGGCTGATGCCCGGATACCCCACCTACAGGGAGCCACTTACCAAGTTCCCAAACCTTCAGAACTACTCGGCCTTTGGCTTCGGCCGTAGGATATGCCCAGGGATGAACATTGCCGAGCGCTCCCTTCACATCTTCACGGCACGCGTCGCCTGGGCTTGCCGGATCAGTCGGAAGAAGGATTCCCAAGGTAAAGAAATCATCCCGCCGGAGTACAACTATACCTCAGGTTTCAATACGCAACCAAAGCCCTTCATCTTTGACCTCCAGGCAAGGTCACCGGAAAAGGCCAACTATGTGGACCGGGCTTGGGAGGAAGCAAAGATGATGGATCCTCTGAAGCACACTGCAAATTATCAACTAGGTCAGGCTTCTGGGATGAAAGTCGCCAACCAGTGATACATGATGTTGCGATGAATGTATTGAAGATCCTTTTGCACCCTGCTAATCAATGTACCAAATGAGGATCACCTCGATCTTCTACGCATTCTGAGCCCTACCGTCCCCTCATGCCGATTTCAGACGCATCCCACCCTCTACCAGCTTACTGAGACTTGTGCGACGGCAACTTGTAGCATTGCTCAGTTGGAATCTTTTCGCCCTGGTCCCACTAAATTCCGCAGGTTAGACTTGTCTCACGATGTGCTTGGGACAAGAGGAACTTACGTGTTCATGAACACAGCCGTCGACCCACCGCCATCTGTCCGTGGTCGAGTATCGCGCGTACGACATGTTGGTAGCTGCGACGAAGCACCACTCGGTCGACTGTTCGCTGCCCAGCTTGTTCCCGTTGCAGAAAAGGGGCCAGATGGTTTGAGGGCCACTCGCATAGCCTGGGTGGTGTTGCTACAGTGCGTTCAAAATGTTAACATTTTCTTCCACTGATTCAATCCACCGAGCATGCCGTGACACGCGCTCTATGGCAGTAAGACTAGCAGACGTACCTTGTAGGTGGAATCAATGAGAGAAAACATGGTCCTGGGATCTCCATCAACAACAAATGAGCGGTAGAAAGCATAAGCTCTCTTTGCAGTCTCTTCCGGCGTTATAGAGGGGTCCGGCTTGCATAAAGCAGGAGGTGCTGGCAGGTTGCAAAGATTCTCTCGCTTTGAAAGGGCTTCATCCTGTGCAAGTGGAGTTGCGAGGCCGATGGCAGGCGCCAAGAAGCTGGTAAAGAACAGCAGTGAGAGCTGCATGTTGGCGGCGGTGTAGCGACAATGCTATGCGGGAGGATTCCTCTTTCTTGCTTTCCTTTGCATTCGTGGGAGCAGGGCGTAATTGATAGAGGACAGGGTGAATGAGAGGTTGCATTCGTGGGAGCAGGGAGTAATTATAGAGGCCAGGTTGAATGAAAACAGTATATCTCTATCTAGTATGATCCGAGAGCAAGCGGAGTGTCCGCGATGACACGTTGAGGGTACGTTCTCAATTTAGCCGCCTTTCCCCAATCTATGACAATATCCCCGGATCATCCGAATGACAGCTGATTGTGTCATTTAAGGAGAGTGTGCCGGCAGCAGTGCATTAAATTCAATTAGTTAGTGTAGTAAGAGCCTTAAGTAATACTAAATATAGCAAGCAATTAGTTAGTACTGTCTCAGAAGCCGCCGGTGGCAGCCCTAGACATGGAATACATAAATAGGTAACTCTCCCCTAAAAGCTTCTTGGTATAATTAATGTGTCGTTGTTTTTATTTAATTAACACCTGGAATTAACTTTTTTACTCTTGTTCTTACTTATTGCACGTAACTCGTTCAATGTGAGGATGGAGGGGGACGGCCCCTAGACCCGGGTGTGTGCTCTCACTCCTAACTTTAATTAATACTTTTAAGGGCTTAAGAAAAACTAGGCTCACATTAGATAAATAATTAAAATAGTCATTTATTTTTTAAATAAAAATCTACTACTATATTATAACTTTAATATTTATTATTAAGTATTAATAAATTAAGTAATAATTTAATATAATATATAACTTAAAATAAAGTTTTATTTAATTATATTTAAATTTTATAATTTTTTTAAAAGTCGCTATTTTAAAATATTAGATGAATGTTTCTGAAAATGGGTATCCCTTATTAATCAATTTATTGTCTATATATTCATAGGTTTACACGGCGAAATCGTGGGGTAAGTTAATTAGGACTGCCACAGATTCCGTTGGGCGCAACTTGGGTCAGCGCAGTTAAGATCTGCAGTGTCCTATATAGTTTCATCAATCTAGAGTCCCTGGGCATCGGTTTTTAAACTCCCGTGATCTTGGCTTTGCTTTTTCGGTGTTCCTGTCGGCAGAGGCTCGAGCATCCCTGTGACCATGATCTCTAAATAGGCAGTGACAGTGACATGCGAGTCTGCAGCAGACATGCGATCTTACTTAGGTAGGTAGGTACTTGATGCCACGAGAGGGAAACCACAGACAAAGCAATTGTCCCCAATACGTCAATAGCTGTTAAGTCAGCGCTATCTTGGATGTAAGTGGGGAGGTTTGAGCGGATCACGAGAGGAAACCTAACGTCCTAAAGTGGGTGGGCGAATGGGCCACACTGGTGACTACCTACCTAGGTATTTAAGTACCTACTTGAGTACCTAGGTGGGTAAGCAGGAAGGCAGTTTGAGCCACAGTCGCCCACTTACACACACTTACAGCTGATACTTAGTGAATGAAGATGCTAGTAGGTAGTTTCGTTCTTAGTTAATGCGTATTATACCTACCTTCATCCTGAAGGCGTACGGTCCCTTCACAGTGGTAAAGGCTAAAAGAGCCAACGTTTAAAAAAACATGTAACGCTGATAATAGTATTGTGTTACTTTGAAAACATCCATTCATGTGTTGAGCAATCTAGTTCCATGAAGAAAAAAGTGCTTCGCCCAGTAGTTGTGCCCAGATGCGCTGCCGCAGGGCCCGAATTCCTTGGCGAAGGTAATTCAGTACTCAGCCCATCGTTCAATTGCAACAATGCTGCATGTGACGGGTCTTCGGGTGAAAGGGATACTAAGCGATAAGAGGCATGTACATCCTTCCAAAAGTAGACGATACAATCAGGGGTTGCAGGCGTCTGTTGGCGCTAACTGTGGAGCCAGTGTCTATACACCCAGTAAGTTAGTCCACATACCCAGCGATTTCTTTCCACACACCTAGTACCTACTTTTTCTAGTAACTCCCTTATATTTACAAGTACTTTCTAAGTTAGCGCTAAGGACGATTTTCTTCTTTAATTTTTAGTACTTAAGGTATAAGCCCCTTCTACAACCCTTTTACCTTTACCTTCTAATAGCTTATTAATACACCTTCTAGCACCCCTTTTAAGCCTTTTAGGCTATATACATTTAAGTATTAACTAAATATTTAAATACTAACTAAATATTAAAAAGCTAGAAGCTAAGAAGGTAAAAGTAAAAACTATACTCTTTCTAACCTTTCAATACCCCTTCTAACTTTTTAATACTCTAAACTTCTAACCTTTTAATATTTAATTAATATCTAAATATTTAGTTAATACTTAAATATATATAGTTTAAAAGGCTTAAAAGGTGAAGGTAAAGGGTTTTAAAAGGTAAAGGTAAAGAGTTATAAAAGGTAAAGGTGAAGGGTCTTAAAAGGAGTGCTAAAAGGAGTTTAGAAGGGGCTTATATTTAAGGTATTAAAAATTTAGAGAATCCTGGTTAGGTATATAGTTTTATATAGGCCCTATACTTAAAACTAGGTACTAAGTGTGTTAATGGAAATCGCTGGGTGTGTAGACTGACTTACTAGGTGTGTGGATACTGGCTTCTAACCGTGCTGTTATTAGAAATAGGCTGCCAACCAGTGAGGCGTACCATCACCCGACGCATTCGATACCGCCGTGAACGGGTCCAAGGCAGCAGAAATGACGTTGCAACTACTCTCTCATAAACTTTTATGGGTTATTTGTTACCATATTCCGAAGCAATGTCATTAGGCCGCCGTTAGCTGGCTTCGTTCACATAACGTCCCCAGCATCTAGTTGTCTTATCACCTAGGTGGCCTTTTCGTCCAATTCCTTTGAAAGTCGAGATGGAATCAGTCTGCCAAAACGATACTTCCTTTGGCCCGACAGTCACAGGCTGCCGCGGCGACTTTGACTTCACCATTTCCTTCGAGGCAATAATACTATCGATTCTTCAATCCGCTTTATTCATTCTCCTGCCACCATGGAGTCTCTGGAAACTCAAAGACTGGAAATTCGTTGTGACGGGGCAGCCTCTGTGGTATTCAAAAGCCGTGAGTTGTGGAAATTGCTAAAATACCACTTCACCATGCTAACCGGAATACAGGCCTCAATAGTCGCTGACGCTAGTCTCGAGTTCATCGTCATGGCATTTGTTGCACATGAATCTGTTTCAGTCAGAGACCAAGTCCTGGCTGCGGCAATCGTGGGGGCCATCACATCATTCCTCTTGCTCCTGCTCTCCTGGTCCGAACATTTTCGCAGTTCCCGGCCTTCGATGGTGATGAAAATCTATTTGCTCGTCACACTATTATTTGATGCGGCTCTAGTAAGAACATCTTGGCTAGAGTTTGGGAGGCAGAGATATACGGTGTCTTTAACCGTCAAGGTGGCCCTCAAGCTCGACATGGTAGTCCTTGAGGCTCTGCCGAAGCGACGGTGGCGCATTTTACAGTCCCAGCACACGAGCCCAGAGGAGAAAAATGGTATATAGTGCGGCTAAAGCCTTCCTCTTCTTAACAAGGTATAATGGATTATATATGTCCTGAGTAAGTGGATTGAGGAGGTTGTGCGCCTTATTAAGTGAACTCATTTCATGAATTCGAAGATAATAGTCTCCATACGAGACAGTCTGTCATTAGTGGCTTTTCAAAGCCTTTTCACTATCTTCCGGATACTAGTCTATGATCACGATGTCCATTCGTGTCGATCTTCATACCCCCCCCCCCCCCAAACCGATTGACCTCAGTCCGTGCGATAGACGCGTCGCGATCGAGGAGCTCCGACACTTTCCTTGGCTCCAGAAGCCGAGTCACTCTTGGTAGCATCCACGCGTCCACGGCTGCGTGAAGCTGAGACGACATGGGGAGAAGGTGTCGCCATTGCGGCTGACGCTTGCGCGGGGACAGTACGAGTCGATCTGTCCGGGTCATTCGAAGGAATTGCTTCTTGGGACATAGTCTGAGGGTGGACTGGGGCTACCTGAGGCATCCAGTTCTGCTGTCGTAAGTCAGACAGCTGTCCTTCCGCTGTCAAAGGGAGGTCGGAGAGAATGTTGCGGCCATAACGTCGGACCGGGAGCGGGATGCGCCACTAGAGCAGCCACGACAGAGGTCTTCCCATTAGTGCGCAGAAATTGTTGTATCTTCCAAGGTCCCAGGGATTATTGGCGAGCCCTGTGGAGAGATTAGTTACTAAGAATCGAAACGGGTCTTTGAATAAAAGATCAAATCCGACTTACATCTCACGCGGACGATTACTCCGCCGGGGGTTTCTTCCTGAGCTGCCATATAGGTACCGCGGAATTGTTTATCTTCTCCACGCTCAGAAGTGACCATGTTGTGCAGAGCTACCCGTTTGCCGATCGAGATGAGCATTATGCCCGCATAGGTGAAATTGAGGATGGTGACGAGTAATAGTGAGCCCTCGACGGCAGTAGGTCTCAGCTGCTTGTCGGACCACGTCCAAACGCATGAACCAATGACGAGAAGGCCATCGAGACAGAGGAGAAACAGGCCACAGAGATAGGGTTTCAGTGTCTCAAGATAGACAGGGACATTTAAAGCGCCACAAAAGTGGTTGAACAACGGCAGGCATTTTCCAAGCTGCTCACAGTGGTACATCTTTAAGGAGTCAGCAATTTGAAATGATAGATTTTCAAGTAGAATTCAAGAACATACTCTGTCCGATAGGGTACCACAATGCTCACATGTCCGCAGCCGTCGTCGCACGTCAGTGATGAACGTACCGGTGTGCATATTAGCTGGCCTGCAGTACTCGAGATCAGTTTGATTCCTTAAAGGAAAATGCACAGATTATCTGTTCTTACCAGAAAACACCAAGATCTCGCCCGGGGTCGTCCACCTGGACCACAATTTTGTTTTGTGGCGTCTCCCAATGTCCAGCGTGATTCCGGCGTCGGTGGGCGAGCCAGCGACACCGCATCACAGCTCCAAACCAATTCATGAGCAGGATACCATGGAAGATGGCCAGGGCAAGACTAATCCGCCAGCGGTGGGCTTTGAGCTCGACATCATCACCACCCACAAAACCGAGATGACGCTGAGAAACTTGCCAGGCGCGGACTACATACCAGTTCACGGTAGTCAGTAAAGATTTTACTCGTCGATGCGGTAGACATGAATTTAGGTCAGTCAACTTACGAGGAATCCTGACACAAATGGTGTAGAGAGAGAGTGTGCCAAAAAAGGCGGTGACGATCTCGAAAAAGTGCTGGAAGAAGACCAGCACCGTGATGATCATGGCGCGCTCGGCGAGGCCGCGGCGGTGGAGGTCATCGAGACCCAATCCTGGGAACACACGATAGAGAGGCATCATGCGTTGAGTCGATCGAGATGAGTAATAGTGTGATAGTGTGATGTGAGACTCAGACTGGCAATGTGATCGAAACAACTTTGCATGTGTGTTGTTGTTTACTCAGTCTGCCCTAGGTCTGTCGCGTCCCCCAAGGTGGTGTCAGAGCCCCGGGCTGATCGCCCTCAGGACCAAAGTAGGTCCGTGCACTGTACTTAGGTACTTACCTAGGTATAAAGTACCTAGGAGTAGATAGGTACCCTAGGGTACTACAATAGGTGTAACGGTATGGATTTTATAACTATAAGATTTTAAGTTTAAGTAACTTAAAATTATATTCTTTTAGTTAAAGTATTTATAATATAATAGTTTATAAATTTATTTTAATTTTAAATTAAAAAATATAAATTTAAATTTTTATATTTAAAAGTTTATATAATTAATTTCAAATTATATTTAAAATAAAAGTTTTATTAAATAAACAATTAAAAATAAATTAATTTATAAATTTTATAATATTAATATTATATTATTAAAGTTTTAAATTTCTTATTAAATTATAAATTAATTTAATATAATAATATTTAAAGTTATTTTTAAAATAGTTAAAACTTTAAAAGAATTTTAAAAAATATAGTAATATAAAGTTTATAAATATTAAATTTAAAATTTAAATAATTTAAAATTATAATTTTTAATTAAAATATTTATAATATTATAAGTTATAAATTTATTTTAAAGTTATTATTTTTAAAAGATTTTAACTTTATTATATTATAAATAAAATTATTTAAAAATATTATTTAATTTAAAATATATTTATTAAATTAAAATATTTTTTAATTAAAATTATTATATTTTATTATTTAAATTTATAATTTTAATATTTTTATAAAGAAAATAATTATTTATAATTAAATTTATAATTATATAAAAATAGATTTTAGTTTTAAAAGATTATTATTAAGTAAATTAATTTATATATTTTTAAAAGATTAAAATTATAATTTAAATATAAAATATATTAAAATTTATAAAAGTTTTAAATTTAAATTTTAATAATTAAAAGTTTTAATTTTATTAAGGATTATTTAAATAAAATTTAAATTAAATTAAATTATAATATAAAGAATAATTAAATATAATTTTAAAACCCTCTTAAATATAAGGCTAAAAGACTTATAATTATAAAATTTTAATTAATTTTATTTAATTATTTTATTATATTATAACTTAGTCTAACTTTATTTAATTTTCTTTTAAACTAATTTAATATTCTTTTTTAAATAAGTTAAATTTAAATTAAAACCCTTAAACTTAAATTTAAGATTCTTATAGATTTTAATTTACTTTAAATTAAACTTATAATCCCTTAGCTTCTCTAAAAATATATTAATTATTTTAAATAATAATAACTTCTCTTTAAAGTAAAAGTTTATCTTTATATAATTATAAATCTAATTATTAATAGTTATTTCTTTTTTATAAAGTTATTAGAATTATAAATTTAAATAATAGAGTATAGTTACTTTATTTAGTTATTTCTTAGTTTAATAAGTTAGTTAAGTAACTACTTTTAAGTAGTTTTACTTATAATATAGTAAAGCTAATAGGTTTACTAAATATTAAAGACATTTATCACAATAAGCTAGTACTAATAAAGCTATAATATAGTATTAGTAAAGGATGCTAGTATTAATACTCTAATAGTATAGATGCCTTACTGTATAGGTATAATATTAACTATAAAAGGATAGAAGGAAACTTAAAATTTAAAAAGAAAAGAAAGGTAATAATTAATAGTCTATTATTATTTAATATATTATTTTTCCTTTATATTTACTTTATATTTACACTATATATATCTATTTATTTTATTTATAACTTTTACTTTAAAAATTTAATTATTTTACCTTTTTTAAAAATTAAATTATTTAAAATATTAATATAATATTAATATTATACTTTATATATTTATATATTAATACTATTATACTTAAACTATAAAATTTATAATCTTTATAAAAATAGTTAAATTCCTTACTTTTAAATAATATAACCTCTTTTAATTTAACTTTATTTTAATTTAATATTAAAAATATAATATATAATAATTAATTTATAAATATATAATTTAAATATAAAAGAAAAATTTAATTAATAATTTAAAAATAAAGTTATTTATTAATACTTTTATATTAAATAAATTAAACTTATATTACTTTTATAATAAAGATAGATTTATTTTAATCCTACTTTAATAATCCTTCTATATTTAAAGATATTACCTCTCTTTATTTTAAAATATAAAATAAACTTAATCTATATAATATTACTATTATATTTAAACTAAATTATTATTTTAATAAACTTTCTACTTTTATTTATAATAAAAGTTTTATATAATTTTATAAATTTTTTAACCTTTATTATTATTTTTATTTATATAAAAGTATTAAGTTATAAAAGTAAGTAAATTATATAATATATTATTTAGAAAGTATATTTAAATAGAATTAAATTAACTTTATTATAAGAAAATAAATATAAAATATAAACCCTTTACTACCCTTTTATAAATTTTAAAAATTTCTATATAATTAATTTTAATTTTACTATATATATTATTATTATATTTATTATATTTATAATAATTTAATAAAAATTATAAATTTATTATAAATTTTATATTATTATTAAAAATTAAAATAAAATCTTTTAATAATTTTATAAAGTTATATTATATATATAATATAATTAATAAATTTAAATTAAATATTTATATAATACTTTATATATAAATATAATTATCTATTATATAGAAATAAATAATTAATTAAACTTAATATATAAAAACTATAAAAAAATAATATTAATTAATAATAATATAATACTATTATAACCTTATTAAACTCTTTAACCCTCTTTTATATATTATACCTACTAATAAATTAAGTATATCTTTTAATATTATTAAAATATATTTATAATAATAATAAGCTAATTATATACTTAAAATACCCTTATAATTACTTTTATTTAAACTATTAAAAAAAGTAATACTTTTATCTTTTAATTAACCTTTTAATAACTTATTATAATTATTATTAATAAAATACTATACTAATATATATTCTAAACTATATTAAAATAATTACTATATATATATATTAATAAACTATATTAATAATTAATCTTTAAATACCTTTTATTATAATTATAAATAAAAACTATATTATTATTTAATATTTAAAAACTCTTTTAAAAACTAACTAATAACCCTTAAAGTTATAAATATATTAAATAACTAATAATATTATATTAAATAAATAATAACTTTATATTAATATATAAATTAAAATTAATAATTATATATAACTTTTAAAAAATATTAATTTAAAATTAAAAAAAATCTTATTAATTATAATATTATTAATATATATAAATATTAATATTATTTTAAAGATAAATTATAATTTATTAATATTAATAATAATTTAATTCCTTTTATAATAACTACTCTTTTTATTTAAATAATAAACTTTTATAATATTATATATATATAAGATTACTATTTTATTATTTTAAATCTATTTAATAAAAATATTATATTTAACTTTCTTTAATTAAAAATAATAAATTTATTTATTTAATAAAAATAATAATAATAATATTTCTTTTATATAAAAACTAACTTAATATTTATACCTTAAATAAATTACTCTTATTTAATATTATTATTATAACTATTTATTTTATTCTATTTTCTTAAAAGTATAAATAATAAAAATAAAACCCCTAATTATATTTTTATTATACCTATTAATTAAATATATTAAATTTAAAAATATTTATTTAAAGAAAGTTATATATACTTTTACTAAATATATATTTATAAATTATAAAATAAAGTTAAAAAGAGTATTTAACCTTTATAAAGATTATTATACCCTTTTAAATATGAAGTTAAAAATACTTTAAAGTTATATAAATAATATATTTATATAAAGATTTATTAAATTATTTATTAATTTAATAAATATATTTATTATATTTATATTTAAAAAAGAAAAATATACCTTTATATTAATTATTATATATTTAATTAGTTTATATATAAAGATTATATTTTATTATTTTAATCTTTAAGATTTTAAATTAATTTAAAAATATAAAAATATATATTAAATTAAATATTAAAAGTATATTATTAAATTAAAATTTATATAAATAATAAATAAAAATAATCTTTTATATAAAATATAATTACTTTAAATATATAATAATATTATTTAAATTAATTAATACTCTTATAATATTTTAAATATATATTATATTATATATTTAAATAATATTTTAATTTTTAATAGTAATAATAAAGTATATATAAAGAATATAGATAGTATTTTAAAATATTTATATTAATAAAATTATATTTAAATTTTAAAGAATATAAATTTAGAATTATTTAAATTAAGTTTCTTAAATTTATAATTATATAATAATATTATTATAAAATAAAGTTATATTACTATTATTAAGGAATAATTATTATTTTATAATATTTATAAAATTTATATCTTTTAAGTTTTAAGTTTCTATTAATAGTTTATTAAAATATATTTTAAAGTAATTATACCTTTAATTAACCTTTTAAAAAATAATATTATAAAATTAATTAAGTTTCTACTTTATATAAAAGTAATATTTAAATATTTAAAATTACTTTTATAATAACCTTTATTTTATAATACTTTATACCTTTATTATATATATATTTTAAAATAAATATATTTATTAAAATTATTAAATTAATTATTTTATAACTCTTTTTAAAAAAGTTTAATATTTAATTATATTTAAATTATAAAAGTTAATTTTATAAAATAATATTATAATATTAATAATTTAAAATTATTTATTATTATTAATATTATTATAATTTAATATTATTATTTATAATATTTTAATATATTATAATTATTTTAATTAATTATTTAAATTTAAAATATTAATATATAAAAAGAATCTTTTATAAAATAGTTATAATAATTTAATACTTTAATAGTAATAAATTTAATAATTAAATATAAATTAAAGAATAAAATTTAATAAAT